AGATAGATAGATAGATAGATAGATAGATAGATAGATAGATAGATAGAGATAATCAGTAAACTAGTGAACTGTAAACTTCCATGGCTCTCCTGATTATTTTGTTTTAAAAAAAAAATCAATCAAATTGATACCATCTGATGATTCAGAAAAGATAGTATTCATTTTCATTTTCTTGATATTTTTTATTTACTCAATCAGTCGTTCACATTTCATACAATATATGTACAATACAGCTGTGCATACAGTTTGAAACAGCAGGTGTTTGGAGGTGAGGCTAACACTAATTTTAAACGTTCATGTACACCTGCTTCTGCCTGTGTCTCCAACAGCTAAGTGGAATAAGAAATACACCCAACAGTTTATTGGACAATGTTACAAATATTTTTTCCTTTAAAAATCTAATATAACCTTTAAGAGCACCACATACAAGTAGGAAACTTAATTTAAGGGTTTAGTTGGACCTGTGTCTTGAGAAGTCTTACAGCGGATGGAATTCGAAGCAATTTGTGTTCAGGGACTGGGAAAACACATGTTCAAACACAACAGTTTCACAACACGCCTATCCGGGTCATTTTTATCCTTAACAACTGATTCCCACAAACAGGATATTCTTGTAAAAGTTTGATCATGACATGAATAACAGTAAACACAGCACAATAGATAATGGATATGATATTCTTTGGAGAGAAAAAAAGTAGGGTAGATGTTTTTAATTCATTCTCTTTCTATCTTCAAGCCCAATTCTATATATTCTATTCTCTCATGGAAAATCACACACATTTTTCTATAGACAAAAAATATTGTTTGAAGAGACAGATATATAAATTCCTGTCCTTAGTTCTAGGCCCAGATTTTTGGAATAAATATATCTCCCCGAAGTATGTAGGGCTGTCCAAAAAGTATATAAAACCTAATCAGTATATTTCTAAAGGCTGTTTCCGGCAGAAAAGAAGTGATGGAGACACTAAAAGCCTGATTTCACATAATTCAGCCAAATGACTTTAGGTTTATAAATGGCATTCAGGTGGACATCCTCTGAATAACCATTGTTTTAGTGACTGTTTTTATCATCGACATGTACAAAAAAAATCATACATTTTATATAGGATAAACTAACTTCAGTATTTAACTCCAACTTAAATCAGAATGTCGTCTACAAATTTTTTTATTTGAAATGTTCTAGAAATATTGTAAACCAATTCCATTTTTAAAAATCTAAAACACAACAGAACCTGGTGTTTGCGTCTTGGTTATGTGAAAGTTATCTTTGATTACATACAACTACAACTGTTACTGGAAATGAGTTCTTAAGTTAGCATTCTTGCAAAAGTTCTTTAAGTTTAGGCACAACTTGTAAATTGTGTTAAGAAAATACAAACAACATTTGCAATATAGTATGGTAATGTTAGCACATTACTACCACTTAATTAGTTTATAGAATTAAACAAAACACTGCTATGTCTAATTTTCTGATTTAGAAATACTAAAAGTGTTAGCGGGCTGCTACAAAGTAGCCACAACAGCGCTAACATTCTTCACATTGTTGGGAATTGCGCTTATGTAGCATGTTAGCATTCAAACGTTTCATGAGATGGTAGTCTTAGCATTCTGATATGTTGTATATAGTTGACCAAATGGCAATATAAAAACTGTACTTATTCAAAAATATGTGAATAATCAAATTTTGTTATCAGTAGCGTAACAAAATTGGAAGGCAATCTAATTTAGCAAGATAGCATGCTAACATATCAATTTTGGTGCGAGGCTCTGACAGTAGTTTGTTGTGAATCGATGATACTTACTTAAACTAAATTGAACTTATTTGTATAAGTTCTCCATGTTACTCAATCACTTTTCATTTAACACAATTATTAGCGACACTAGCCAAATCTAAACCAATGCATATCCATCACAGAAACATTTTTGCAGATCTATGAAGAGAAACAAATCACAAACTCTGAGTGGTTGACAAATACCGAATTGAGAGATGAGAAAATTGAGCCACTCTGCATCAAGTGAGATTATATAATCATCATAATGTAGAGAGGACATCTGACCACTGTTAATATCATCAGTTTTTTCAAATATACACAGTGTTGAATCACATGATAAGAGCTCGAAAGTTCAGCCCTCCAATGACCAGCTGTCTTCCTGTTTCTAATCTTTATGTTAACTTCCTGCTAATGATTGCTTCAAAAGTCGTTTCCTGTCATTTGCCATCATGATTCTGGTATCCTCCTTCTTATGAAACTCAGGACTAACGCTTCAAAATCTGTTGCCAGACGCAAAAACTATAGTATCAGTATAATCCTGTATTGATCGAAATTTGTCATACGGCAGCAACCTTTGGGAGGAGGATATCTGTGTTAGTCTATCACAAGCACATCATAAAAAAAACATCACTAGGGGTTTAACATGGAGAGAAAAAAACATGGAAATCAGTGTGCATGGTGTCAATTTACGATTCCAGGACAATTTTCCAAAATAAAACAACTTGTTTTTTTCTGAGCTCATCTGATTGCCAAGATGGCATCGTAGGACTTGCCAGTTCTGCAGACCTGAACGTCTTGGAAGCCCGTCTTCTGGAGCATGCTGGTGTATTCGGACGGTGGGCGTTCCCTGCCCTCCGCCTGCACCAGCATGTTAAGAGAGAAAATCTGAGCCATGACGGGTCCACGCTTGTTTTCAAACAGCATCGCCTCCACCAGCAGGACGCCACCCCCTGACAGCGGGACAGAGAGAAACACGGAGCAATGAAAGATCTGAGGATACGTTGGAAAAAAAAAAAAAGCTTTGGCTTGTCTCGTGTATCAAGAAGCAAGTATAAGCACCCCTCACTGAAAATCTGTCATGGATGAGTATGAAACTGAAAAATCTGATGCCTGAGATAAAATGAAGAATGGATCAACAAAATATACACCATTTTAAAGCAAGGCAAGGTAAAAAAAAAGTTTTAGAAAGTATAGAACTAAGCCTCAAAGTCATCAGTTTACACAAAATGTTCCTTACATGAGCCGGTGTTGCAAATATAAAAAAGATGAGTTTTCCACCAGTTTATGTAGACTCACCAGGTTTACAGTTGTCATATATCTTCTTCAGAAGGGCAAGGCACTTCTCTTCCGGCCAGTCGTGAATGATTCTGGCCAGAACGTACAAATCAGCACTGGGGATTTCCCCGCTGAAGAAATCTCCTGTGTGTGGGGAATGACCGAGTTATGAAAAATCACATACAACGTACTCATAAATCATAAAAGTTGTTTGCAGGATTATACCAGTGATGAATTAAATACATATTTCTAAGATGCAAGTACAAAGAAAATAGTTTGTAATTGTTTTTATACAGAGAAAATTAAAAAAAGAAATATACTATTTTTTACACTAACATTGGAATTTCGGAAAGACATCCAAGTGGCATATTTTCCAACTGGGTCCATGTTTTTTCAGACAAATGTCACGTGCAATTTGTCACGGCTCGACTTAAAGGACACAAACCGTGTGCTTGAGTGATCTGCCTGTCTCGTAATTCACATTTATGAAGTGTTATATAGAGGCCGTTAAGCTCTGATTCTGAATTGGTCAAGAATGGACACATAGGCAATTCCTCTGAAACAATTCCAACAAATTAGCAAATAACTTACTAAAGTTCCCATGACATCAAAGCGTCAAACCATTATTTAGAACATTTTTTTCAGTATGAAGGAGCGCGAGGGGCTCCGTGAGGCTCACCGGTTTGAAAAGCGAGGGCCTCATTCTCCTGGGGGAAATGTTTCTGAGCGGCCTCCACAACCTCCGGCAGGTCGAACACGGCCACGGAAGCCGACGGGTAGGCTTTGACGATCTCGTGGGCCAGCGCGCCGGTGCAGCCTGGGAGTCACACGTTTAGTAGACAGGACTGGCCACAAAAAAAAAACAAAAAAACGGGCGGCGTGAACACGCTTACCGCCGAGATCCACGATCCTCCGGAAGCCGGAGAGGTTGAACGCCGTCACCACGTCGTGGCCATCCAGGACCCACGAGGAGTTCATCAGACCCATGAACTTCATCATCTCCTCCTCTGATCTGCGTCAGGAGCTTATCTTATTTTCAGCCCAAGAGGAAAGCCACCAGCATGACAGGGTGGGAGAACAAAAAATCCTCACCAACCTGTAAAGAGCTTGGAAGACCTTTTCAGACGGAAGTCCAAACGTCTTTTCGTTCTGATTCCTTCCCTCCCTGCGTGACAAGAGAAAAAGTGACCGGCGGTTCGCTGTGCGGTCACAAAACGGTGGACCCCACCACACCGACCTGACGGCGTCCACCATGTTGTTCCACAGCGGGTAGATGGTCTGGGACTGGTAGATGATCATGTCGTGGAGGGACTTGGCGCTGCCCTTTGCCAGGTAGAGATTGGCCACGTCGGTGCTGCTGTACAAAGCTGGTTATAAAAACCACAGTGAAAATCCTTTAGATTAAGACAGAGAAAAATAACAAGGGAATATATTAATACAAACTGTAGGGATCCTAGGGATAAAGTCCCTATTATCCTCATATATGGCTCCCATAGCTTCTCAAAGTCCTGTTGTTTACTCTTGGCAATGTATAATAGTTTTTCCAGTCCCAGTGAGTTTGTCATTTCTTTCTTCCTGAATCCCATGCCCCAAAGCAGTTTTTGTTTCAAATATATTTTCTCGTCCAGAGGTTGAAATCGAAACTGGACGTTGATTATTTCAGTTTTAAATTAAAGGCAAGCTCAAAACTATTTGGAGTTTAGCACTGGAACAATTATTTAAAAGTGGGAAAGTGGGAAAGATTCAAGGCACAAAAAAAACCCCAAGGACAACATCTAAGACTCTACAGGCCTCAGCTGCCAAATATTAAATGTCAAGGTTCATGATATTAAAATAAAACTAAAAAAGTCTGGTGGCTTTGGAGAGGTTCCGGGTAGAAACCCTCTCTTCTTAAAAAAAAAAAACACAAATTATGTTTGCAAAGGCAAAAACAAACTAAAAGTCCATGAACTCCTCTGTGTGCAAAAGTGTCCGAGACTTCTAGAGCCGGATGGAAATTTGGTTTTTCAGTAGGACAGTAATAGCAAACGCAGCGGCCAATGGAAAACAGAGAGCATGAGAAGAATCGAGGTTGGGATGTTTGTGCCTAAAGAAATGGCTGCGAACCCCCCCCGAGAACTGAAGAGAACTCCCAGAGAGGAGTGAGTTTCAATTCCCAAACGCCGAGAGAGACTGATGACGTCAGGCAAATACCTCCAGATACCGCACCTCATGGTACTGGCTGGTACTTCGTTTTCTCACACACTGGCTCAACACTGGGAACACGTTGCTTCTGATCTGAGCCAGTATCTGTTTAGCTCTGACAGATATCAAGAACCCCGTGAATCTGGATAATCGAAGGAAGTCAACCACTCATCTCTAACCCTAACCCCGAGCGAGTCTCCTTAAAAATGAGTGCTGTCAGTTTCCGAGACAGATGTTCACACAGTGTTCCTGTAGACTTTAGTTTAGAATGAACTCTAAAAAACAGAGCATTCATGTTATCTAACCCATAAGAATACTCAGAAGGTAGAAGCGTCTTTGGTATTTTTAACCTAGTACGCTTAAATGCAGAATATGGGGTAGAGAGCATGGAGGCTAAGTGCAATGATTTGTCTCTCTACTGTAATCGTGAGATCACGAGCTGGTTGTGCCAGGCTTGAGGCAGGAACGAAGGCTTCCTGTGTTAACACCTAACTGAATCGCTGTTGTCATCACAGCTAGGGACGACCTGCAACAGTAGGCCAAAGCGTGCAGGGTTTTAATACCGATCGGTACCCTGGGCTCAGGAAATGCCTTTCTCTTCAGGACAGACATGCAATGTCTGTGGGAAGTCTGTTGATGAGAGAAGACTTAGACTTAGGCTTCCTTTAATCTCATCGTACAGAACCAGTGGTGAATAGCAAGTTTGACGGCAAAATGTTGTTCCTTGGCTGGCAGGTACAGCAAGGTCTGTATGTAGGTTAGGTAGTAAATACTGTGGGTCATTTAAAAACGATATAACTATAACTATAAATAAACAAGAGTTGAGAGAAAAAAGTGATTTTAGTGCAATAAGTAATATGGAGTTGGGATCAGAAAATAAACATCACAGGTAATGACAAAGACAGTGTGGTAGGAGCATGGATTAAGGTGTAGAAATGAAATGAACAATCTGGTATTTCAACGTACATAATATTGTGCTATATCAAAATGGCAACCTTGTTATTGCAACAGAGAAGGAAGAGGGCAAAAGAGAGAAAACTAGCCATTATTATAAGGAATAAGACTTACTATCCAGAGATTAATCACACAATGAATCCACTTTTAAAACCAAATTAATTTAGTTTTGTCAAGAAAATTAAACAATTCACTTGTAACCTTCAAATCTTCATAATAAAAGTAATAAAGCTAAGCTTATCTCAGCAGCTTCTCTCTGTTGAAAACACACACTGTGCAGGATGTTCCTTCCCATTTCAACAATGTAGGCAACTATCTATATCTGATGGAAAGCTTCCCAAAAAATTAAGCTACAAACAATAAAACCAGTCTTCTGACTGTATTCTATATCTTTGTATTAAAGGTAAGACCTCATTCAGACTGCTTTATCATTGGCTTCGCTTTGTTGAGGATCTCTAATGATGGTCCAGCCCACAAGACCTCCTCCTCTTCCTCCTTCCTCTTCCTCCTCCTCTTCCTTATCTTCCTCATCCTCCTCATCCTCCTCCTCACCTGTCCTCTCCGTCTTCTCCACCTCCAGGATCTCGATGCCCACCAGAGCGTCCAGCAGCCTCTCCATGCCGTCCTCGCTGGCGCCCAGCTCCTGAGCCACGTGCCGGGCGCTCAGGGCCTCCTGGGACTTCAGCAGGAGGTCAAACACCCCCAGCTCACAGGCCGAAAATATCACCTGAGGACATTCAAGGCAAAGCCCAGGCTGATATTTGATATTTTGTTTTTTTCTTGTTGTTGTTTTTAACCAATGGACACTTTGTACTGCGTCATATACACATGGTTATGATTATAACTGTAAAAAAATATTCAGATTTTGCAAGACAAACAGCTTTAACACCCCAGATCGAGCATATTGTATTCTTGCATCAGTGGTACTGTAAACTATGTGGTACAGGCAGTAAATACGCATGCATGCATAAGATGCAACAGATGATATAGTTTCTAAATTTATTCTAGTTGATCATCGCGCAGATGAGGCTCAAAGAAAAGCCCGAAACGTCACCTTTGACACCCTGAAGCCGTTGATGTACTCCAGAAGTTTGAACGGGTAGTCCAGCTCACTCTGGGATAGATGCTCTGCCATAACTGCACTCCTGATGGGCCAAACATACCATCACATCACAATAATCCTTCTGACCGGGAGGGAGCCATCTCCAAACTACTGATAAAGTCAATTGCGTTTACACTTACTGTCCCCTTATAACTCACCCAATGCTGTGGATGAAAAGCTGCCAAGACGACGGGATTTTATTTGCAGAAGCCGGCTGGTTTTTTGTTTTTTTTGGGAGGAGATAATTCCAATCGGTCAGTTTTTGTTTTTGTTTTTTTTGGATGTGTAGTCCAAAAGAGCCAAGATGTCGGTGATGCGGTAGGAGGCTGCTGAAGGGATGAAAGTCAGGATGCAAATGCTCTAACGGATCACCCTCGGGTTTCGACTCATCTCCCCTCTGGATCCCGCTGAAGGCGATCGACGCTGGGCTTGAAGTTCACGCGGCGGCGTTCGGGCTGACGTGCAGCAACAGTGACTGCGATTGGCTGAAACCCACTCTCACAAAGCAGGGTGCAGTTCCAAGTTCGGCCGCAATGGCGGAGGGGGGCGCTGTTTAGGCTAAAAACGGAGGATGTTACAGGAAGCTTCCATGGCGACCCGGACCGGAGCAGGAATGTTTGTCTGCGGTGTCAGACGTTGATGAACGGTCAAATTCCGCTGCTAAGCACCCCTTAAAGGAATTCTCGTAAATCTACCATCGATGGAGAAACTTTTACGTACATTTTTTAACGGACTTTTTTAGTTTTGAAACTACTGAAGCCCTTCAAGATCACAGAACTGGGATAAAGCCTGTGCCACTTTTATTGTAAATTATTGAACTGTTTCATTTCATTCTGCAATGGATTTAGCATGTGAATTGCTGTTAATCGAAGAAATTGTAGAAATAAAGCAGGTAACATAAGTCAGCAGGGGAGGGGGCTCCATTTTTTATAATGCAATTGTCAAATTACTACAAATTGCATCTCGTGTCAAGATACATTTCAAACCAATTTAAATTCATTGGAATACAATCATAATCCAGTTCAATAAAATTCAATAAAGTCAGAAATTATTCACAGAGTGCAGTTTTATATGATTTATTAAACAATTCTGCACCTTTAGCTAAATTAATCTTAGCTAAAGAACCTATTGTTTTTTAATTTAACTGAAATGAGTATTTGTTCATTTCAAGTGCACATGGCTCTAAGGATCAATCACTCCACAATGTGATACTGATAGAACAGAATCTGGAACATTACAGTTGAAAAGGTGCAAACAAGAAAAGATGAGTGATGGTTGTATTTTTCTTTTTTCATTTTTTTGTAGTGGAAAAGTTTTGTGTTATTCCCCCCAAAAATTGTTTGCTGGTGTGTACATTTTTTAAAATTATGTAGAATTACCTGCTGAGAATTTTGCTTTGGAGCATAGGAGAAAATGTGAAATTTTGTGTCTGTCAGTGTTTGTTCTGGCGTGCGTTGGTAACTCATGGAGGTTTTGGGGTTTGTTACCATACAGCAAATGGGTCAAGCTTCAGCACCCATCATGATGCCAAAACGGACTGAAAAAAAACGTAATTAACCATCAAAAATACCTTTTCATATGCCGTTAAGTCTCATAATACTGGTGCATTAACGGCTTCCTTTGAATAAACCAAATTATGTCCTCAAAACTTTCTGACTTGAGTATTGTATCTCACCTTATCCTGCTTTTTTTTTTTTTAAGTGCAGTGTATATTGTGCTAAACGTTAGGAAATAACCTGCTTGCAGTTGACTTTTTCGAGAATGTAGAAATGGACTGACTAGTTGAGAGCAAAGTACATTACCACAAAGATGAATATTATTTGTTTATATGTCACATGTAGCATAATACTATGAGTTCTTAAAAAAAAGTGTTTTCTTTCGGGCATCATCTTTATGAATGCACAAATTTGGAAATGTTTGATAAAACATCTAAAACCAGCTTCAACCCCAATGTCTCATCTTAAAACTGATTTTAAATGTGTTTTAATCTTTCTTCTATTCATTCAATCCAAAGATTCTCAACACTTTCCATTACTTTAGCTATTACTGCTGACCTAAGAGAATCTTAGAACCTCAGAAGAACAATTAGTTTCAAACCGCCCTCATTAGTTTGCTGCCAATCTTAACGTAAACAAGTCATCTCCCAATAAATCACAAAGTAAAACCCATGTGATGGAGAGAGAATTTGAGGGGGGGCATTTCCATTAACCAGCAATCAAAGCACTTGAACAGTAAATAAATACCAGACGTCTTCCATTATTAACCAAACTGATTTATTATGCATGAACAAATCCCTTCCTGCCTCTGTCACACAGACACACACACACACACACACATACTCATACACGCACGCACGCACACCCAACATTTAAATACATGATGTGGTGGAACTTCGGCATAGCTCATTTTGTTGTTGCACATGCTTTAATAAAATGACAGATATATTTACAGGATAAGCAATGTTTACGAACAAAATTCGCAAGAACAGCTCTCGGTCCCACCCTGCAGCACTTTGCAACGCTCGTTTTTATTCTTTATTTTTTCTTTTTTTTTGGAAATTCAGCCACATTTAAAAAGAACTGAAAGAAATAAAGAAAAAAACAAACAAAAACAAAACAAAAGAAAAAAAACCCAACAGAACAAAAGAAAAAAAAAAAAAAAAAAAAGGGGGTTTTGGCCAATACAACATAGTATACGTATATGGAGTTCATCCACTACATAAATATGGCAGTAACACTGAGTAATTCGTCAGGACTATTTACAGAGTTTGAGAAGTGGGGGAAATATTACAGTCTGTGCGTGGACGACTGACACATCATATGCCTTCTTTAAAGTCTGGGGGACCGAGTCTAGGAAAAGCCGACGCCTCCGCCCCTCCCCTCCCCTCCGTTAGACCGGCCGGCACTGACACCACCAGCAAAATAAGGCACAGTTAATACTTGGACCATTTTCGGGGGGTGGGGTGGGGTGTGGTGGGGTGGGGGGGGATCTACAGACTTGCAGCTGGCTTGTGAGGCATGTAAACAACTGAGTCGAATGATTAGGACTGCCTTATAACCTTCCCTTTGTTTCCCCCAATCAGCGATTTAATCCATCTGATGAGCTTCGAAATGGGTTTTATACGGCAAGGACCTTTGACCCTCCCTCCCCCTTCCCCTCCCCACACGCAAACAATCGAAAAAAAAAAAAAAAAGAGAAAAAAAAGAAAAAACAAATAACTTCCCTCCCCACCGCTTCTATGCTACTCAACAAATACAATCACATGGTGACAAACGAAGAAAACTAGTAGTGCATACACTACAAACACAACAGGAAAACGCGACGCCCTGCCTATTGCCTTTGGTTAGGCCACAGCACTGCCCTCTGAACACGGAGGATAAAATGATCTGAACAAAGAGGAGGAAGAAACCAAAAACAAAAAAAAGACGGCAGAAACAGAAACGATTGACTGGTTGATTGACGAGCTGTCCGAAAGCCGAAGCAGTTTCAGTTGCAGTGTGACTAAACCAAAGATTTAAAAAAAAAAAAAAAAAGACAGAAAAATCTGTTCCCCCTGTCCCGGTCCAATGATCATCTTGGACCAACGCTTACCTTACCGGCCTCCGCCCAACGCTCGGCAGCCACCACACTGCTCCCGCCCGGACAGACCGCTAAGATATTTTGGGGGATTTTTCACTTTCAAATACGTCTAATGGCAAAAGTCAGCCCCCCCCACCCAACCCCAGACACGTTAGCTTCTTCATCAAAGCTTCCCCATCGCTTTCGGGTGGAAAGCGAGGGAGGGAGGGAGGTCCGGCCGTCGAGGCATTAGTCCTGCCCTTTCTGAAACGGCCCCCCCGGCTCCAGACCCTTTTAGCCAGAGTGAGGAGTTTCAGGAGCGGGGGCCGGGCGAAGGATGTGACGGGTGTACTGATGGAGCAGGAGGAGGGGGGACAAAGTCGGGGGTGGGGGGGTGGTCCGTCGCAGCTGTCTGGGGCTTCTTGGTCGGCGTGATGGAGCCGGTCAGTCGTGCTTCAGGTGGTCCTTGATGTCCTCCTCGTCCGTGTACTCCGACGGCTCGTCCCCGGGCTTCAGCAACCTCCCCACGTAGTCGTATTTTTCTGGAGAGAAGAGAAAGAAAAAAGGGTGGAACTTGTCAGAGCTTAACATTTGCTGAGATGTTCTCCTCGCCCAGTGTTCAGTTAGAGCCGAACACTGGGTGAGATTTAAAAAAAAAAAACTGGTTCTTAAGCTGGAGGCTGATGGGAGTTTGACACATTGCGCAACCCTAAAAACCAGAGCTGTTAATCAAAACCCTCGCCAACTAACACGACAACCCACTTCAGGCAAATATTTTTTCCTTTATCTCTGTGAGTTTTTATTTTTAAACCGAATTCTTACATTTGGATGCTTTGGATGACTTAACTTCCTGATTCATGAACCAAGAGTTGAGAATGAAAACAAGTGATAGTTGTCATTCGACCTCTTGTAACGCCGACATTCAACTACCGATAGTGGCTTTAAATTAGATGAGTACAGTCTTCTTGCCAATACAATTTCAGCTAATGAGTTTAGCGGCTAACGGCTTTGGCTCCAATGCCCCCTCTGACTAATTGAAGTAAGAAATGTACATCGAGGTGAGAGCGTTGAGGCTAGTTGGGATAAAACGTGCTCTAGCTGAAGTTACCCCCAAAATTAGACGTCAACCCGGCAGTTTTGGGGAGTAAAAGTTTGAAAATTAAAAATTGTAACAAGATGAAACGGCGTTACGGGTTCTGGGAGCACTGGGTAATCCTTGCATTGTGACAAAGGTGGTGAAAAGAGGGTCTCTACTCCCCCCCATCCACCACAGCATGGCGGTTTTCCAACACGTGTGGTGGAGGCAGGTATTTTTAGTTTGGCTTTATTGCGCGGCAGGTTCCAAGTTTGGTTCCACTTCAAATGCCCCCAATAAAGCTGGTGGCTAGTTTTAGTCAAACATGTTTCCTCGTGTTTGGAAAAGTGCACACGCACACACATATATACACAAACACGTGTGTTTATATATATATATATATATATATATATATGCCTTCGTTCTTCATATATAAGAGGAATAAAATTATAATTAGACAATAAGTGATACATAGAAGAAATGAATTTACCATTACTAATTTTCTATTCATTTACCTTTAAAAAATAATGGATTTTATCAATTAAACATGTACATTTTCTCCAAAGCTTTTTCTCACATGCTTTGAAAGCCAGAGAGGAAATGTTTAAATTCTCTGGATACATTTTTTTTTTTATCAAAGAACCGAATGAAACCAATAAGAGTTTAACTATTAGAAAAGTCTTTGTTGTGGATCTACATTTAAACTACTTTTCATCTTCAACAGTTGGAAGCCAACTTTTTGATGAGTTGCAATGACATCAACTCTAAATTATGAATGATACATCTTCATTTACATTTGAATTCTTCCTGCAATCAAATGTCAAGCTTGGAAAATCGTCCCTGTCTTTTTTGTACTCTCGTGTAGTATTGTTTTGTCTGAATTTCATTCTTTTTTTGTACGTGTTTCTGCTTAGAGAAGATGGCATGGTCATTGTAATGTAGCTGCCAAATAATGGTATGAATTTCAGTAATAGTTAACAATCAGAAGCTGTCTGAGCCCCCCATCAGGGCATTTTCTCTGCCGGCGACATTTCTCCATAAGCCTACCCATGAACTGCATCTCCCACTCCCTCACGCTCTCCATCTGTACCGCGGTGAGGTCTGACAAGTCGTCGTACTCGTCCCTCAGGGCATCTTTTTCCAGGCAGAAGGTCGCCAGGCCCCTGGAAGCGTCCCGGCCGGCAAAAATGCCGTACGGGCCATCTAGGGAAGACAAAAACAAAATATCGTCCATTTAGACAAGAATGAGATCTGAAACGCAGTTTCTGTCCACCGGCCCAAACTTAAGAAGAAGACGTATTAAAAAAAGAAAAAGCAGTGAACCATCAGGCCAACCATGTGGTGATCTTATCTCATCTCATGACTCCTACTTTACATTAAACCCTTTAAAAACTCAAGGCAGTAAATAAGCAACTTCTAGCTCGGTTTAATTCATGCGCCTTTGTCAGAAAACTGATTTGCCACTGTGGACGAGCAGATTCTCTGCGTCTGTAACATGTTTAGAAAAGCCAGGAGATAAAAATCAAAAGTGTAATTTGACACGCCGTGTTGTTCGATAATCAGAAGAGAGTGCATACAGCTGCCTGAGCTGAGCTGCGATCATCTATAAACAAATAAATCATCCAAACTGACAAGCTCGTTATCCAGCAACACCACAAACACTGGTCAAAAACAACAATTTCCTCAACATTAAATGCAAAACAGTTATGATAAACAGTCCGAATCTTGACTTATAGCAGAATTGAACAACCATGTCTACTGGTAACACTTTGGTAACAACTTCTTTGTCAATGACTCGTAAATAAAAAATACAATTTGGCTTTTTTGTAAAACGAAAACGACCTCTGTAAGATCTTCAGAGCTACATCGAGCAGCTAGTGGACACAAAGGGACTTCCAAATACAACTTTCAAGGAATTAAGGCATTTTTACTTCGTGCCCAAAACACTCAGACAGGATGACTGGTGCTTTCAGTCGTGTTGCATTTGACTAGCGTATGTCACTCTGTAAAAACTGAGGCGGCCAGCAAGAGTCAAACTAGTGTCCAGCATTCCCCAGGACTCTTTTGCTGCCCTGTGGGGTCACTTCTGCCAGGTTTCTATGCTGCAATATCCTCCTGACTTACCAAACTCAACCATCTCCTATGAACAACAAAGGACACGCTTATGTGAGCTACATTGAGAAATTTCTGATTCAGAGGTTGATGTCTTTGTGAGGTCATGAGAGAGATATCGCTTCATGAAATTTGCCCGAAGGCTGAAAGGGACGTTATGTTTCAGACCGTCTTCTAACAACGAGAACGTCTTCTGATTAGCATGTGAAAACTCCGGTTTCCCTATTAAAAAAAAGAATAAAAAAGCAATCAAAGGGATAAGGAAAACAAAAACAAAGTAAGATTATAATAACTGAAAGAAAAGATATGGTTGAGGACATGAAGAAAAAGCACAATATCACCTGAAAGATTAGAAACACTCCTTGCAATGTACAAAAAAAATATAAAACCTGCTTTAAAAAAAAAGAGAGAAAACACCAATAACTCTTGGATCTTTGCTTGACTTTGAGATGATGATAACTAAGGAATTCTTGAGGTTAGCAGGTTCCAGCTGCACCTTAAAAGCAGCATAGGTATGCAACTGGCACATCAATGATCATATCTACAACATCACAAACTTGAAGGCAACTTTCTCAGAATCAGCAATTCAGGTCATTTCGACTTCTCTCTGGCTCCGTGAAAAACGAGAAAAAAAAACTTGTTTGGTGCTAAACCGAGACCAGCAAATAATTCCCTCTCAGGAAAACGAGGCTTACGGGCTATTTTCAGCAACGTCATCAAAAGACCAGTCTGAGAACTGACACGTGCATTTCCCCCCAAAAAACAGCCACCGTTCCAAGTCCAGTTGGAACCAACCATAGTTCAGACACGATATGCCCAGTCTGGCTCTCAAAAGTGTGTCACGATCTGGTGATGTGGACAGATTCGGGGCCTACTGGGCTATGTCCCGACCGAAGGGAGCAGCTTCCTGACACTTGAGACAGCTGGGGATTTTTTTTTTGTTGTGTTTATAGCAGAGTTTACTGCAGAGTCCGCGAGGTACGAGGAAGGTTTTCATGAGGAAAGACGTTGAGGGGGTCCGGAATCTATGCGTTAACTTGCTGGCGTTCTCTTACTTGAGTTCCGTTTATCTCAACTTTGTACATGACCAAGTCCCGTCCCCTGCAACGCAATGTCACAACTCGGACATTGGAATTTGCACAATACGAGTGCAATTCATGTTTACAAATCTTTCCAGTTTTTGACATATGCTGAACCCCCTACATAAAGTCCAGAATGCACAGTCTGCATGTCAACTGGCTAACAAGCTAAAATTAGCAGAGTATATTTTCCCAAGTCTTTCACCCTATTCTTGAAAAAATGAGCTCAAGAAACCCGTGTCCATTGCATAGGATAGGTAAATAATGGCTGCTGGGAGTTGGTGTGTTTTCAAAATGACTGTCGAGACCTCAAAAAACCACGCTACTAAGTTAGCAGCTAGCATCCCATTCAAAAACACAAAGCCAAATAGCTAAGCTAAAGCGGTTTGCGCCCAAATTTTGCTCCAGGACGACTCACCACAGGCGGCAACGTGTCCGCTCGTTCAGCCCCTCTCGGAGAGCACTCCACCTGGGAACCCACTCACCTTTACCATAAAACTTTTTGCCAGTTGTGACGTCGAAAATTTTCATGTTGACAGCCATGAGGATGCGGGGGTTTTGGAGTCCGTCGTACTCCCCCAGCTGCTCCAAAGTGAAGTCCCGTCTCCTCATCTTAGGAAGCGTCGAGGCCTCGTCGCCATGGGCCGCGTCAGGGCCGAGCCGCCTGCCCCACCGCCGGTACACCACCAGACAAACCGCCACGACCAGAACCAAAATGCTGATATTCAGCAACATTCCGCCTAACCCGAACCCGTCCGACTCATCCGCCGCCTCTTGCCCGCCGCTTGTGTCAACTGGTCCGCTCAAACTGTCTCCATCGTCCGCCATACTGCACAGTTAGCGCCTACCCGCCCCTGGCAAGATGCCGCGTTCAGGAGCCGTCGGGAAAGGCCGAACCACTAGTTGAGTTAACGTTCAATGTCACGTCGTTGGGTAGTTGATTTTGAGTAGATAGGGTCAGATAGGTGGGCGAGCAAGTGACGCACAACTTCAAGGCTCCCAGAATTTGAAAACAAAACAAAAACAAAAAACTACGAGATTAGTCCAAGAATTATAGAAAGAGAGAAACAAAACAACCAGAACGAGACATTAAACATATAAAGTGGCAATAAGAAATTTAAGATAATTTTAAAGTGAGACAATTGAGCAGAATGCAAAACATCATAAAAGCTGCATGGACCACAAAACAACAATGAAAAATATAATCATATAAAATAACCTCCTTACTGGGCACAGCCTCATTTAATGGGGTTCAAATCATATACATGTTGGTATAGGGCACAGACTACTGTCAGATTTTAGAAAAATAACACAGAACATAGGATTCTGATATTTTAACCTTTATTCTTGTAAGCTGGAGGTTTTTACTAGCAATGCAAGGTTCCACAGTTTGTCATTGTCATGTGTTTTCAATGACCCTTTGTCATTTTCCCCACCAGTGTAATTTCAAAGAAACCACAAACAAAACATACATCGAAATAACCTACCTTCAGAACCTCCAAGTGTAAAACCGATTTTTTTATGAGTATAAAAAATAAATGAGGACTTTTTTTTTCCATTTCAAATGTGACAAACACTTTGAAAAGATATCAATGAAAGCTGACGTTTACAAGGGACAAGTGAAGGTAGCACATCACCCGCCCACCGCTGTTATTAAGCGTGTCTGGACGTGCTTGTTTCTCCATTTAGAAGGCCTAAAGTTATCAGGATAAATAAATTTTTTTAAAGAAAAGAAACATTCCAAATTACCACACACACTCCACTATCTGAATTTCTTATTTGTTTGTGACTTTTTGTCCAATTTAGTAATGTCATAAACACTCATGTATGTGTGAATTTAACTGCAGTGTCACTCTATTTGCATGTTTTTCTGCATGCTGTTTGCACATTTAATTTCCACCTTATTTGACCTGAATAGAATTTATTCTGCGAAATAGGAAAGGGTGATTTCCAGCCGATAGTTGAAACGGGACTTGATATTTCTTCATATTTTAGCCAACGGCCAAGTTCACAGAGCCATCGCTGGGAACCAAAACCTGTTTGATTAGACTCGATGACTCGCCCTAAACCACGCCTCAACATATTGAAAACAAGCAGAGCAGGAAAGATCACACAAGCAGAAGTTGGTACAATCAGCTGATATTTTATATATTTTTTTTTTGGGCATTTTACAATTCTTTAACATGCATTCCTTTATCCTAATACACTCAAAAACACACTACCGATAAAACAAATCAATCTTAAAATCAAATGAATAATTGAATAGCAAATGATTTTTTATAGTATTTACATTTTTTTCTTTTAATTCAACTCTAAAACCTCTTAAAATCCACTGAAGAAAAAAGGAAAGTTAAAGTGCTCTAGAGCACCAAGCCTCAAACATAATATGAAGTAAACTTCAAGCTAAAATAAACAGTTTTATGATGCTAGCTCACACCCATAATTCCAGCAGAAATATATCTTTATTTTTAAAATCATTCAATAGCAAAAGCCATCAAAAACTGCAAAGATTGCCTAAGACTATTCCATCAATCAAGTAAATGGAAAAATAATAATAAAAACAAAAAATGAAACAATAAATTAAACTCTTCTGGGTGTAAAGTGGGAGTTAAGGTAAAGCTTCCCATATAAGTGTGTCATTATGATGCCGGTTTTAAAAATTAAAAACAAATGTAGTCGATTGGCGACAGGTGGATGTAGGATTGAGAGGCTTGTCCGAGAGGACCCTCCTCGTGCGGAGGAGGGGGTCAGTCCCTCCCAAATTAACCACTGTATCTTTCAACCTGATTGTCACGATGAGAACGGAAGGTATTACAGAAAAAAAAAAAAAAAAACTAAAAAAAACTACTGCAAGCTGTGCCTCTTTGAAAAAAACCCAAACATATAATTAGGAAGACCATAAAAAGTTGGATCTAGAGCATTTTTTTGCTGCTCCTGACATCGCGATAAACAAGATTAAGGCACACAAGACTATCCGCTGTGTCTCCCATCTTGGCAGACTAGAAGAACGGTTTCACAGCTCTTCACAGATCAGAGCAGGCAACAGAGACCAATGGATGAAGCGGTTTGGCATCTGAGAGGGAGGGGGGGAAAAAAAGCCACAATTCTGTGAAGAAGGAAAAAAAAAAGCCTTTTTTTTTTGGTTGTTTTGTAAACGTTATGCGCCGTCGGGCGAGCGGGCTCGAGCTCGCTTGCTTTTAAATGAAATGCGCTGATATAAAGACAATCAGACCAGGCTCGGTCTCTCTCTCCATTCTCAGATGGTGTAGCCTCTAAGAGGAGTGGACGCTGAGCTGATAGCCGTAGATGCCCGCTCCGCTCCGCACCTCGTCTAACCCAAAACCCCACACCGGGAGGCTTCATTTGTTTGGTGCGGCGCCGTCCTTCTTCGCCGCCCGGGGGTCGGCCTTCTTCCCGTGGGCCGGTGGCGCCGCGCCGGGTTTCTGGGCGTTTTCTTTGGGTGCGCTCTGTGCGGCGGAGGAAGAGGAGGCGTTGGAGGGTTTGGGGGCCTGGGAGGGCTTTGAGGTAGTGTTGGAGGGGTGTCGCCGACGCCTGCCCTCGTCCCCGGCCGAGGACGAGTGGCGTCTCCTCCTGCTTCCGTCCTCTCCCGCCGGCGGCTGCGGACAGAAGTCGTCAGATTAAAAACGTGGATAAAAATCCACCTCATTTAGATAACACACGGGTGACGCATGAGTTTGTGTCTGACATTTAGCTTTAAACTGTTTCATTATCAAAGGGAACTGGGAGAGATGACAAAAAACAAGAAAGTGGTGATTTCAAACGGATTTCGAGGAAAATAACCGCCGTCCTTGCTTGGAAAGACACCTGCTCGGGGGGGGGGGGGAACAGCACGCTAAGCATACGTGGGCCCTTAAAGCATCTCGACACGGTGACGGGTCTCAGCTCGCCCTGTTAATGATCCTGGAAATGACGTCGGGCCGACACTCACCACCACCCTGAAGTCCTCCAGGTTCTTGAACTGGGAGAGATGCTCCTGCAGCTTGGGGTCGATGGGCTGGTTTTTCACCTTTGAGTATTTCAGGAAGGCCCAGAACTTCTCCAGTCCATACAGCTGACCTGGAGGGAAGGTGAAAAGGGAAGAGGACTGGGTGGTCAAAAAAACGACTGGCTACGTTTAATTAATGGTGATGAAATTTGAAGCTCTGTGTCAGCCAAATGTTCGGCAGTGGGGAGGCCCTGCTGTGGGTTCAGGTCCACAAAAATGAGAAGGACTTAAGGCCAAGCCAGATGCGTGAAAACTGTTGTAGGTGATTTGCTTATAAAATTATAGGACATTCAGGAAAATGTCCTCTGTTGAGTGTCCCAGATGTAGAAATGGAGAAGCGGCTAATGTAAAGTTACTGCCTTATCTGGGCAAACTACGCACGCAGGCCGACAAAGCGAGGTCATTTCCACTCCGCTGACATGCGATGTGATTGACTAATCTAACTGAACAAACAACCGAACGAGTGACAGTCATTTCTTCGACGGCGCTAACGTTTCCGTCCAGCTCATTTCAAATCGTTTAACACTGGGAAAACGGATGAGGCCTTCCATTAAGGGATCCTGTGCAGGTGCTGCGAGGTTACCTTTCTCAAAGTCTTTGAGGGTCTCCTCTTGGAAGTCCTTGAAGAGATCTAACCTGAACCGCTTCTCCAAACCGTAGCTGTAGTACCTGAAGAGACACTCCAGTCCATACCTGCGGAAGGAGAGGAATACATTGTTTTAATACCTGCAACGTGAAACAAACAAGCTTCATTCGAACCGATTATTCGCGTTTCTTTTTTGAGTCTCCGTCATTTTACAGCGTGGAGCAGCCAATTTTACGGAACATTAGCGGCTTTGGGAACCAGACAGACGGGTTCCTCGGTGTTTGATAATGAACCAGACGAGGGGCTTTTGACGTCCTAAAACATGCCGGCCTGGCCTGAGCCAAACACTTATTTACACAGGAATGTACTTCTGGCAGGTGTGAGAAGGGGCCTCTAGGCGGTCCTCGCTCTTTAACAACAGTGCTTTTAATTTACCACGCTCGCTGTGAAAAACGTCCGGTTTCCTTCCCCTAAAGCTTAAACCGTTTCTTTGCCTTTTGCAAACCCAAGTGGGCGCTTTACCTTATTTTAACAGACGGCTTAAGACGAGCTCTGCTGTTGAGTGATGTACTAACGAGGTTAGTTCAAGTCTTCAACTGCGCCCTGCCCTTTTTTTTTTTTAAAGGAACCGACTGTTGAAAGCAGAAGAAAGCTGCCACTAACTCCAACTACAAATGGAGCTAAAAGCCTGAACAATCGGTTGGTTCTGCAATTTCTCAACGATTTGCTGTTTAAAAACTAACTGAACAATTATCCCTGAAGGCACAATGCACACCATCCAGCACACTTAACACTGCACTCGCTTATGTAACTTACACTTTTTGGCCTAAGAAATTAACTGTAAATACCTATGCAGCTTATTACTCATTACTTTCACTCAGCATGTCATGTTTTCCTTATTAAACCAACGCATCAAGTTCCAGGTTCCTTCTATTTAATTTAACAGCAGTGATTTCTGATTGTGATCATTTGAGATTTAGTTCAGACCACATTCCTTCCAGGAACTTTCATCTTTCACCACCATGCTTCCAGGTTTCAATTATGCCTAATCTAATATTAGAACCACTTCCTTTCATTTTACTGATGCTGAATAAATAACAAGCTATGAAGAAATTAGGAACCTAAAGCAGGTTGTGACTTTTGTTTTTTCTTTTTTTTAGGGGAGGGGGATTCAGACCGCATGTTTAAGCATCAACTAATTCGCTCCTGACCTGTAATTTTCTTTGGCGTCCTCTACCGCAAACTGCTTGAACTCCTCGTACATCTTCCTGTTGAAGTTGTCCCTCAGGAAGAAGGACCAGAACCTGAACAGTGTGTTCATCTCCTGAGACTGGCCGATCCCCAACCGTTTCCTCTCTGCGGAAACAGAACCAAACCTCTGTTACTGTGGGTGGAGGGGTGGGGGTTTGCGGAGGGGAGGGCCGTCCTGCCGGCCTACCATTAAGGCACCGTCGGCGGTACTTGTGGTATCCCTGCTGGGTGAAGCCGTTGTCCCTCAGCATCTCGTGGGAGGGATGCCAAAATTTGGGCAGGGACTGGGGGGTGCAGCCGTAGCTTCCCGACAGCGGGGCTCCTTCTGACGGAGACGCATTGGAGCTGCTGTGGGAAGATAGAGGAAAACATGTTAAACGAGTAAAAGAGTGTGTGTGTGGGGGTGGGGGGTTACGACTAATCACTCATGTTGCACGCTAAGACCTGAACTTTAAAGTTTCAATGTTATGCTTTTTTAAATTAATTTCCAATGCGAGTTTTGGTTTAGGGGGCTAAAAGTCCATTTCCAACCTGAGCCACAAAAACGCTAACCTCCCTTTATTAACCACATTTATCCGAGCCATTCTGCTCACACCCTGTCTATCCGGCAGAAACTGTACTGGGGGGTGTAAATCACCCTTTAGGCAATATCAATATCAAACCCATTCAATACATAGCGATTTGATGGTTGCCAATAATTTAAAAAATCAGTGTAAGGCTACATTCGATGAAAGTATGGCTTATTTTCAGTGTCATATGAGGTTGTGCACGGGGTCTGTCTGTCCGTTATCCTATGACTTGTGATGATGTTCAAGCTGCTAGCATGGGAGTGGGAGTCTGCGGTTGATCACTCGGTTGACCAGTCATCTTTTCTTCGAAATTCGTCCATGCGACTGAACCATTACCCAGAAGAGAAACGGTTTTCTACAATGATTTTTTTTTTTTGTGGCTCGCCGCTAGCTTCTAAACTGAATTAAACGACTGGCCCTGCAAACTAGAGAACGTAATCATTCAAATCGATTGAAAGAAAGATAAACCGTTACTGTGTTACTGTATCAACCTTTGCATTTTGGACTGATGAAATGGGGGCTCTTTCGTCATACAATTGAGTTGCAGTGCCGGAATCCTCTAGTAATAAGTGCACAACACGGGCTACGCCAAGAACAAAACAATCCTTCCTTCAGCCTTAAGTCTCCGTAGCACTTATTCCATTGTAATCTTACATAAAACCAGAGTCTAGATTAATTTATGTCTTAGTTGAATATATAAGAAAGTATTTAACCTAACTCCCAGGCTGTGAAAAGCTCTAATAATTCTTTTACACAAGTAATAAATAAGTGTACAGGTGCAGCTGAAACCAAATTGAAATGTGTGTAGACTGTCTGGAGCCGCAAAAAGAATCTATTTATACCTTTGCATTTCCACATCAAATAATCTCTGATCAGGACGGGCCTGACGGAGCCACATGAAACCCTTTAAAGCAGAACATCAAATGGATGACGACAGCAGCGTGACGGGGGAATTTTTTTTTTTCTGAAAAGGTTGTTGTTTTTTTTGGGTCACTGAAATGTCATCTGAAAGCCTCGTTATTGATAATCATCACTGAGGGTCACAGGGAGAGGGAGACAGAGCAGCCGGACCTGATGGAGGCAGAGCGCGGCCGGTGTTCACGGGAGTCCATCACCCAGCCGATGTGGGCCTCCTGAGGCGGGTTTGAGCTGTGGCGGGTCTTCTTCTTTCTCGGCATCTGCCACAGATGTACAAACTTTTTATGACCTCATGATATTTAGGAAGTTAAAACCCTTACAGAATCACTTCCACATATGATTTGGGCTGAATGAGCCCTTTAAACTGGGCTTTATCCACAACACAGATAAAAGCTAAATAATGAGAAGTGCTCGCAAATCCTACTTCCAAATAATGGCACAAAGCCTAAAAACAAATTCAAAACAAAGAAGCGCTTTCTGAATGTAATTTAGGCAAGAGTATTTGCAAAGCTGAGCACAGTGCTGCCCCGTGCATCGTGGAGAGAAAAGAGAAAGGGCCCAAACAAAAAGCTCTAACAAACATTGCATGCGTTTTGTCATCAGGACTTCAGCTCAGAGGATTATTCACCGATTGTCCTCTTTAAATTTGGCACCGAGCACTTCAACCAGCGGTCTGAGTAAAAAACAGGCCACTATAGTACTCATTTTCAAACCACAAGGCCCAAGATTCCTCTTATCTGCTCAGTGAGAGTAAAACTAGCCTTTACAAAACAGGAAGAAAAAAATGAAAGGGAAACGAGTCCATTTCAAGTTGGGACACTTGAGTTTTCATTTTCTCTTAAAAAACTCAACCGTGCATTGTAGAAATCCAGTTAAAAGTAATACTGTGATTCATAACTGGTATATCAGGCTTAAAACCGGCGCCATAAAAGTGGCCGTATGCATCTGCGTGGGCATTTGGATCCAAAGAGGGCCCCACCTGTCCGTCCACGGCACCGCTCTCCTTCATGACGGGGTAGAAGCGCGGGGTTTTGCTGGGGTCCTGGCGCCCGGGGGTGCGAGGCGTCCTGGGGGTCCGGGGTTGTTGGGAGACGGGCGACTCTGGCACAGTCGTGGGCAGAGAGTGGGACAATTCTGCTCCGTTGTCTGCTGAGAAACAGGCATTGGAAACCCCTCTTACTCTATGTGTCGTTGAATGCTTTGACATTCGAGGCAACGCATGGAAACACGCATAAAAAAACCCACCTGGCATGGGAGGAGCTGGGGCTTCCTGGTTTGGGTCAACGGGCACTTTGGGGGTGAGGATGTCAAACTCATCCTTACTGATCACGTTCAGCTTCTTGAAGTTTTCGACGTCCTGCTGGGATAACACGTGTGGACGGTTAAAAAACCAAAAAAACCTACAGTACCAACCAAGCTTCGGGTTAATTACCACTTCCTAGAAGTGTGCATTAAAGCATTAACATTACATAATCATCACGATACATCTTATTCCAATACAGAATAATCAACCTAGAAAAAAAAGTGTTACTTAATTCGGCTCTGACCCGATGGCACAACAATCCAGCCCGTCACACCTCAATCGGGCTGTTTGAACTGATAACAGCCTGACCTGCCAGTACGAACAGCGCAGGCAAGTGTGACACACAGCAGATGTGCGGGAGACTTTGGACTGCACACGTCAGCCCAGGTGTCGTGTGTTTACGTGCCAGTGTGCTCAGCCGTAGTATTTCCCACATGTCGGGGGCTTTGCGGAGGAACCTTTGATCCCCGAGTGAGCTGACGTTGCAGAAAAACTAAAAAAAGGTGAGGAGCTGCCACGCTGGCCTTTTTTTGAAGAGCTTCTTTAGTGACCTTTCCCTGGGTATTTGTATTCGTAGTTGATTGGAATTTTTTCAAAGTGGCAAAATGCACATTGAGCCAATTAAAAGTTTCAGCGTCCATGTGCTGAATAACTTTAAAAGCACCACTATTAACAAAATGTAGCCTTTTTTTACGTTAGTTTTTACATAATTGTAATTTTTTGGTGAACTGGATCTGTAATGTTCCTCTTATTTTTCATGAATCAAGTTGTTTCTTTTGGCCTTCGCTAAATGGGCTTTATGTGTCCTCCCATTACTGACTGATAAACAGGGACATTAGTTTCTTACTGGGACCACTCCACCTCTCTGTGTAAGTACTTGATGTTTGCCCTTCTTATGCAGCTCATGCGTATCAAAAGGTGGCCAAATGGCTCTCTCTCTCATTTCCTTTCTATAGACCTCTGATCCACTACTTCCTCTCCACTGACACCACAATGTGCTAATGTTGGTGTTGTGGATTTTTTCTTCTTTTTTTTTTTTCCCAGATGGACGTCTCACATCTTCTGAACAACAGTGATTTTTTATTTTTTTTAAGAGGCCTATACAGTTGCCAAAAATAGTAATTCAGAGTATTTTGTGAATCTTAACTGACTCGGCCCTTTTCATATCTTTTGAAAGATTACCTGCATAATTTGTAGTGCTAGTTACTTTTAGTTAGCCTTATCTTTAAAATAGGTGTGTTATTTATATTTTGGTCTTAAACTGTAGAACAAAAATGAAAAAAACACAACAAAAATTTGTATGTACATCCTTTTTCCTGCCCCTGCCAAACTGCACTGACTGTAGTAGGTATGTGTAAGCTGCACCTCTACTGTACATGCTCGGAGGCTTTGGGGGTTTAATTTTGGACAGTAACCCACTGACCCACTGTCACAGTGACTGAGGATGGTCGACGGTTAAATACCTCGGGGGTTAAATGTGAAGCAGCTGGAAAGCAGCAACGGGAACAAAGTAAAGGTCAAACAACTGAACCATCCGGAGAACGGGCAGACTGAAATTGCTCGACGGTGCTGCGACTGCTCTCCAGAGAAAATCTGCATCAACATAGCTCCCTTTGGTAAAGCTTCAGGAAGAACTGCTCTGTGACTAAACTGAAACCAGGATGGAAATGACAGCCACTGAATCAAAATTAAGCCACATGGAATCAGTACGCTTGAATTCTCCCCTGTTATCCGACCATTTAAAGCAATCTCACGTTATTTTGGGGGATTTTTGGTATATAAAGTTTATGATGAATGCAGTCCAAACTGGTTTGAGAACATTAAAAAGGAATTGATTAGCTTTCTTTACTATTTCCAAATACGGAATAGTGAAAGTGGGGATAAAATGCAGAAGACTTCCTCATCTAATATGACTAATATGGTATTACTTTCAGGCTTGGGACGCTCTATTCTGGATCCTACCTTGCTGCACTCAATCTGCTCCTCTCCCTTCCACAGGTCCTGCTCGTAGTAGTACAGCCCGTCGTTGATGGCTTTGGCCAGGTCGGCCGTGATCCTGGCCCGGGACTCGTGGTTGCCGGATCGATCGCCGCTGGGGTGCTTGCGGAGGTAGGGAGGGGTCTGTGTGACGATGAGAATCTTGTTGACGTCCTGGTCGTCCAGCTCGTAGTCCGAGTCGTCCTCGTCCGACCAGTCGGTGAACTGGTTCTTCCTGGGGGCCATCTGCTCCATCTCTTCGTCGAACATGAAGTCCAGCTCCTCCTGGTCTTGCTCGGGGGGCGGAGGGGCCTGCTGGTTGGGAGGATTTGCCTTGCTGTCTCCCTGGAAGGCACGGGGAATGCAAACAGGTAACGCAAACATGTTACTCTAGGACTAATAAAAGTATTAAATGTGAGGACACTTTTTGAGTTAATCTGCTGACAGTTTCACAAACAAACTTTTTTCTGACGAGATAGTAGCAAATTAGAGGGAAACAGAGCAAAGGCATAGTGGCGCTTACAGTTGTGCCAACAAAACTCGAAACTGAACGAGATGTTACATAAATAAGAAACAAGGACGAGGAGGAGATGAAGGCAGGAAGAGATGGGTGTTAGGAGGAAGAGTTACTCAACTGCAGGGGGAAGGAGGTCAGGCTGTAGCTCTAAGGGGGGAGAGGAGCCAGCAGCACACACATCATCACTGACATGCTGCTGGCAAAAAGATGGAGAAAGAAAAGGAGATGACAGGTGATGGCAGGAAATGATGGAAAGGATGATGAGAAAGGATGAAGGACGGAAACATAGACATGTGTGATGTGTCTGATTTAAATCTTTAAAAAAATAAGACCAGCAGCTGCTTTTACTTCTTCATTTAGGACATCCCTGGTGTTAAAGCCTATGTGACACTAAGAAGATCAGCAAAATTTGAAATCCCGCAGCCAACAGTGAGATTACCGCTGTGATGAAAAGCTCTTCGGGACTCCTCCCAATTCCCTTTAAATACCTTTGGCTTCCCGGAGGCCTGTCGGTGCCGTTTCTCCACTTGGACCCAGGCGTCGGGGTCCGGCTTCGGGGACGTCGAGTCTTTAGAGTCGTCCTTGCCCGGGAGGGACTCTTGTACAGGTTCAGAAGAGTCCTGAGGCTGTGCTGACTCTATAGGAGCCTCCTTCACAGGCGATGAAGCTGAAAAACCAGAAATGATACAGGCACTTTATAATCAATCATCCTACTGTCTACACTCACGTAGGGCCGGAGGGGAAAACTCAAATCTCTACAGCTCTGTGCATTCCAACAATAAATCATCTTCACAAACTGATGGCATCCATTTCTCTTTAAAAAATGAAAAAACTAAAATTTTTGTGGCAGGGCAAGAATTTCGGAGTGGTGCAATGGCTTGTATATCTTATTTGTGAACATGCTCGGCACGGAACATCAAATGAATTTGTGTTGAGTGCTAATCGTCCATGATCAAAACATTTTATGCACGCAAGGGCACAAAAATCAATAACAAATGTATCACCGGCAGCTGGGTGCCTAAATAAGGAAGCGTTGTGGGTGATGCGACGGTTCACTTCTCTGGCAAGTGCATCAACAGCGAGGTGCTCAATTTAGACCAGACTGAGACAGAGTTGTGTGAAAGGTCCGAGCAAATATGGACTCTGCACTTGTTACTGTTTTTGCATCGGTTAGGCGGGTTGTCGAGGAAGACAAAATCCAGGGCCGAGCTTGTTGTATTGGTGGTTTACAGTCGATCTTGCCACATGACTCCCATTTATTGTCATTAATAACCAAATTTCTTTAATTTTTTCTTCCCTTTTCATAATCAAACCCACATAGTTTACACTTGATTTCAGTTAACATTTTGTGTAAACACATGCCAATTTCTTATCAAATAGGCTGATCTATTGTTTGAGACTAGATGATGAAAATAACTATGTTGGCAATCAACCATCTGTTTATAGAAATGATTTCTTCCCAAATGTAAACATTTGGAAAGTATCACATTTAACTAAACAATGGGTCTTGATTTAGTTTAATAAATACAGAAGGGGCTATTTCCTGTTCAAGTGATCCACCTTTTTATGGTTAATTTTCTTATGGGAGCAGTAGAAAGTTAAAAAAAAAAAAAAAAGTTGTTAGTCAATCCATGTGGCTGCGTTTTGGACTTGCCATTTTGCTTTTGACATCAAAAGGGTGCTAAAGTGCTAAAGATATGTCCAGCTTGTTTGCCGACAAAACGCCGATTTTAGCCACCTTTCAGTCGCCATTGGGAGTAAAGCGAGATGAACACTGACCCGAGTTCGTGGAGCTGATGTTCTGTCGGGGAACGAACTCTGGACAGTTGATGAGCTGGGAGAAGTCGGTGCGTGGGGACCCCACAACGAGAGGGACGGCGATGGGCCAGCGCTCAGGCTCCGTTTTACAGCGAATCCTGTCGTCTACCAGCTCCACTTCGGTGCTGTTTTTCAGAGCCTGGAGAGGAAAAAAAACAAAACACGGCAGTCGCATTCTAATCTCCATCTCGCCAACTGTAACGTATGCAAATGTGCAGGAGTTACAGGTGAAATGACCTCTATGATGAGGCTGACGTCGGTGGTGAGAGCCTGAACTCTGTGGAAGCTGGCGATGAGGGAGATGGGGAGGAAGCCCTGTGCGTCCATCTTTCTCCTCAGGAAGAAGTCACGCTCCAAATTGTGGATGCTGAAGTAGTATTCGCTAAAGGAAGACGACAAAATGCATTCAAGTTTGAGCTTTTATTCGAACTACTTCAGCAATAATAACAAAAGTTACTACTGGTGAGCAGAGCTGAAATGATTAAATGGATCCACTGAAAGCAACAGTAGCACTTCCATAACCAGGTGTTATTAAAAAGATAAACACACACTACCAGATTGGACGTGAGCTGTGGTTATGAGATATATGAAGAGTTGTTTAATTTTAAATACACTGTTTTAATCTGTATTTACATCATGTAAATTTTCATCATTGAGTATATATAGACAAACAAAAAAAACAAATAAGGTGAAAATCTTTGACCACTGGTGCTTATTCTTATCCCAGGTAGCTGCTGAGGAATACTACTGTATATATTGTGTCTTTCATTGTATCTTTCTCTGTTTTTCTCAGATTTTTCCCTGGATTAAACATTTTTCTAGGACGTTGTGCTGCTGCAGCGACTTCTGCTGGTAACCTCCGGCAAATTTTTTAAAAATGCGCTATGATGCGTAACCGTGGCAACAGCAAAGTTGATCTATTAATTTTTTCTCCCTTGTTTGTTTTGTTTTGAATTTGTGGCAGAAGATGGGAGTTTTCTGCAAAGGCAGAATCCCAAATCTAGATTTTAAAATGTCAAGGTCCAAAATGGAAAAAGAAAAAGGAGGAAGTTCAAACCATTGGTACCCTTAATCATAATCATAATCATCATCAGGCGAATAGGAGATTACCGGCGGATAAAACGGATCAGCTGATAAGAACGCAGCAGGAGCATACGCAAGACTGTGGGTTGATCTCCACTCAGTTTTAATATTTTGTATTCTATTCTTTTCCTGTACTGGTTGGGAGGCTGTGCTGCTGGAATGACTTCTTATGGTAATGATGGCATTTTGTTGCAAAACCATGGCAACTGAGGAGTTATCATAGTGGAGCAGTTTTCCAAACTTAAATCTTGGATGCAACATCTTGGATACAGAGAATAATAAATAAATAAGCACGTCTTTAATTACCGTACAGAAAGAAGTGCAGTGGAACTATTTCCCTATGTGGATTAACAGTGTTATTCAACGGACTTAAACTGAATGGGGAGTTAATGGTTTAACAGTGCTTGTTAAACAATGGATGAGGCAATATTGGACATTTCGCTGAAAACGAGCATCCCCGAAAAAGCTAAATAAATAAATCGATTTGTGATGATCGAGACTTCGCCGGCTAACATCTTTATTTATTATGTGTGTGTCTGTGTCTATTTATATATATAAAGCATGTCTTTAAGTCTTTAAGGAAAAATACAGCAGATAAATAAATTATTACACAATTGACACTATAGAGCTTGACCCAAGGGGAAAATTAGTTTAAAAATTTTACTTTGACTTTATGAAAGCGTAATAAATCTCAGAAATCTGTGTATCCAATAAGATACACGGAGAGTTAAAGGGTTAAATTATCTGACTTGAGCACCGAATGTAGACTGCTCCATAAAAGCTCCCCTTCTCCTCCTTGTCACACGCTTCATGTCATCGTGACATGCCTTTGCACACACACACTTTGCTTTGACGGTTCGGCCTGCAGGCGTTTGGAAGCGGCCTTTTCATGTGGAGCGACGTCGGCTGAGTGAGCGACCTGGAAAACTTTTGAGGGAAAGACAGGAACGTCCCATGCCTACATTGTCCCTTGCCCCCTCTCTCTCTCTCGCTTTCTCTCTCAAGTCGCGGCTCAATTCGTTTTTTTTTTTCCTCCCTTCTTCACCCTCACCCGCGCCTGCATATAATTCACTCCCTGTCCCTTCAAAAAGCACATCGTCTATATTTAGAAGCTCCCTTCCCTCTCACCCTCCGCTGGTTTGAGTCTGATCCCAAGTGAGGCTAAAGCTGCCGGGCGGACACAGAGAGCACGCTGCCCCCTGCAGGCCGGACTTCAGACCTCCAGCTGGCTCTGCTGCCTTAAAAGTCCCAAACTATTTGAAATATTCAGTGTCCTTTTCAGCTGTATTTTTCTGTCATAATGGACGTGCTCAAACCAAAGCTTTGCGGCAGACTCATTGTAAAGATCACATAATGTCAGAAGGGACTGAGACAAAGCCAAGCAATACCTGCGATTACATGGAAGGTTTAATCCCATATCTAATCCATGTGTTTATACTCGGAAAAGAGGTGTACTCCCATTATGTTTGAATCCATTTTTCATAAAGATATGGACATTTCTAAATCAAATGGAATCCACAAAAGTGTGCTGCCGATCATTCAGTTCTACAAAAAAACACATCACTGTTTCAGTACACTGAAACAGAACAGTTAGATGAGCATGTTACATCAAATCCTTTCAATATTATTTTATCTGTAGCGCATTTTTTAAAAGTGGAAATATGGAAAAATGTTTGCTTTTCTGCACTGACAAGACAGCACAAACTACATTTCCAACCCAACTTATGAGTTGACTGTCACGACCAACTTTAAAAGAATAAAATAATATTCTGCGTGTAGAACCCCAGTATTGATAGCACACCAGGACCCCTTAATAAATAGGAAATGGATGAAACACATTCATTTTGGAGGCTAACTCATATGTTTCCTGTCCCCAAACACCCCAACAGGGGGGCAGGCGGCCATGATTACTTACTATAACTCTAAATTGTATTACATAATGAAAAGGTACTGCTTGTGGCTGTACATTAATTTACACTCAATCCACCGAAATGCACCTTTAAAAATAAATTGCTCACATTAATTAATAACTAAATACGGATCTTTATCAATTCTTTTATATGAGGACGAATTGGATTCTGGAGTAATTAATACCCCTTCTTATGGAATGTTTAGAGGGCATTTTCTATTTCCTTGGACTGATCTTTCCATCTTTCCCTGAATTATAACTAAATAATGGTGCTTAATGCACAAACTGCAAGATCCTCCCTAAAAAGAGAGCTGTGCCCATTATCAAATGAATGAAGCTGAACAATCACAATCACGTAGATTTGATTTCCTAGGTAAAATACACTTTCATTATAACATCTTGCCTCATAAAACCTACAATATAAGACTTTATAACATGAACAAACTGATGAATATATCTGGGGGGAAAAAAGGTATTTTTTAACTTTAGCGGATGAGATTTCAGCAGAATGCTCCATCTTTCCCTTTTTCAGCTTCACTATCGCTTCTCTTCTCTGCTCGATTTGTCAGTTTTAAGCCGAAACGAAACAAAACCAGCAGGGGAATATGTGGCATGTCATGAAGCACTTACATTTGCCGTTTGATGTATTCCTTGAGAAGCTTTTCGTCCACCGAGTACATCTGGACTTTGCTACCGTCGTCGTAGTAATAAACCATGTTGGTGCCGAACTCTGTGGGGGCCTGAGCGGAACCGTCGGATGACTGGCCATCTCGGAAGTTAGCGGAGTATTCATACCGACCTGAGGAGGTGGAGGGGGGAGAAAAAATGTTTTTGTATGTTTTTGAAATTTTCACTGGAACCAGAATACAGGGGGTAAGAATGGAAAATGGTTACCTCGTCCGCGACCTCTCCCGCGTCCACGGCCTTTTCCCCGGCCTCGTATTCCCCCCCGAAGGCTCCCGCTGTCGCTTCGGACACTGAGGGCGTCGTCCCCGTATTCCCGTGGCTCTGCCCTCCAACCTGTCCGTGAGGGAGGCATTTGAATGACAAGATCATTTTCAATCAAAGGCTAGTGAGTATTTGACCTAAATGAATGGCGTTAATACAATTAAACTGCACATCATAGTCTTTAAGAAGAAGAAGCTTTTAGTCATTCTAACTCCACTTTTTTTTTAACACATACAGAAAATGACATCAAATTGAAAGCCCAAAGTGGATTTATCTTTGGATTTCTTACGTTTCAGCAACAGTGAGGAAAGCAAACCACGTTAAAAAGCAGTTGACCCCAATGCCATGCTTTGACTGTGCCATGCTTTTCGGGGAAACAACAAAAAAAACAAGCTTTCTGAAAAGTCAGGTGGGGGGAGGGAGGATGGTGAGCAAACATGAAGCCATATCAGAGGGGAAAAGAGCAAACAGCAAAGCAGTGAAGGAAGAAAAACAGGGGCAGATGGTGGGAGAAGAAAAGAAGAAAAAAAAACAACTAAAAAGAAAAAACATTAAGCTGCTGGCCACTTACTCCGGCTGCTATCATGTGCCCTGCTATAATGGGGCGATTGATTGGGCCACGTGGGGTCGGGGGAGTCACCGGTGGGCTCTGTGTCCAAGTGAGTTGGGGCCCCGCTGGGCGTCTTGTCGAGATCGTCTCGGGACGCGTCTTCCAGCGGCAGAGAAACCCACTTACGTTTGTTACCTAGCCATGATTGCACACCGAGAAGAGAGCTTGAAGAGTTTTGGTCCAAAACGCTAAGGGGAAAAAATCATTCTTTCCAACTCGGAAAACAATTTCATCTGTGTGGTCAACAGGCCGTGTTTCTACGAATGGCTACTCGAGCAGATTGCCACCATAATACACACATTTCAAAACATTTTTTAAAAACTGACTAGCCAAATCACTACTTAAAATAACCCAAAAAAGTACCTTAATGTATTAAAAGTCAATAAAAAAGCCCATGAGATGCTGCTTTCCTTTTTTCCCTCGGAAGATTAATCGTTTTTCAACTCTGGCCAACGTTCTTTGCAGGATGCCAATGTGCACAAAATACTCAACTTAACGCAAGGTAGATTTTGTTACCTTCTACTACTATTCTGAGCTGACCACTTTTTTTTTCTTTTTTTTTTTCTGAAGAGACACGGCCCCTCTGAACGCTCGGAAAGAAAAATAGCTTTACATCTTACTATGTTTGCAAGGTGTTGCCTCCATTATCTAACACAGTTCGACACGGTAGATGAAACCATTACGTAGGCTCAATTTAAAACTGGTAACATTCTTTTAAATTAGTTATATTATATTTTTTATGTCAGCCCATTAACTTAAAGTTTCTTTGTAGCTTTTTCGGCATAAATAACTTCTAAATAAAAACTTCTAATAAAAGCCGAAACACTTTTCGGCTTTTATTTTCAAACAGCAAGGTTTTGTTTGGATTTTTATAAGATGAAGAATATTTTTGGCCAAAAACATCTGGAGAAAAGTTGGGTTTGTTCGGTAAAGACTCAAGGCTTTAAACGATTGATACGTCTGAATATAAAGGGGATTAAATCCTCATTTTAAATAAATGTAGAAATGTTTACTCTTTGTCGGTGAAAGCACACAGTCTCAGACCACTGATCCCATTTTAGATGTGTTCTCCTTTTTGGGTGTGAACACAACGGACGGACAGTTTAAAAACTCGTGACATAAAAACAATATGATCAAGATCAATATTTAACTTATTAATTTAATTCTTTGCCTCTTTTGTTCAGTCTGATTTAATCACTTTCTGATGGCATTTTACTTTTTTTTTTTTAAATGACTTATTTAACACATTCACATTCTATAGCTGTTAATACAAAGTTTTATTCCATTCTTATGTTTTATTCTATTCTACTTTAACTTAACATCTTATTATAGTCCATACCCCCCAATCCTCCAATGCTTTATATATTTGTGTGTGTCTCCGTGTGAATTGTGGTCTGGTGGTTGGTACATAGGAATCTATCCTATGCACCAACCACCAACCACCAGAGGCGGTGTTTTCCTCCTTTGTTTTTTAACTTTCCTGGCAATTTCTTGTTTTCACCATCTAAAGCAATATGCGTCGTCATTCTTTTTTCAATGGAAAGTGCTTTAGAAAGACAAACTTTCAACATCATTTAGCGATTAAGGTTTTTATCTAAACCATCTTAGCGGCAGCCACGGCTTTAATGGGCTTCTGTGCTGGTTGTTATTAAGGGCAGCAGCCGTGGAAACAGTTTCACCCAAATATGATGAAAATACGTTTAAATATCGGGAGGCTTTAGGGTTGGAGTCTATTCTTTTGACAATCTGATCAGAGTACGTCTCATTTTCTAACTGACTGGCAGCGTTACTCGTTTGTGGACAAGCGCCTCTGAGACTGCTCTATTTGTGGGGAGCTTACAGCCACACAATGAGCCATACCTCCACAAACTTATTCAAAAGATTTGTTAAACAAAACGCTGCGCTTGACCGTTGGTTTAGTCGGTTGAGAGAGCGGGTCTTGGAGTGGGCTCTGCTAACTGGGTGCCTGAAATTTTAAGGTGGTTTAATATCTAGAAAAAGGTGGGAGTGGATTACAGGAGGTGAAACAGATTAGACGGTCACAGCACAACATGCACCCACCAGCAATCGTCACCACCATCAGTGATTGGTAAAGTTATTGGGGCATGCTTCTATGCAACGATAAGGAGTGCAAATCAATGCAATCAAAAAAACATGCATCTCAATTTTTTTTTAAGTGACTCCTTAGGCTCATGACAGGATCCACATAACATTTTTTTTTTTAAATAAACATTTTCTATGTTATAAGAAAATTAATTCAAATCGTGACCAGTCACAGCCACCATCGGCAACCTCGTTTTTAGACAACTGATGTAAGAATAAATATCTAGAATATAGAAAAGAGCAGGACTCCTCACCCTCACCTCCTCTCTTCTTCAGGGCGCTGCTCTTGGCGTCGTGTCCCGCCTTGGACTCTGCGTCTCTGGGCAGCTCTCCCAGCGCATCGGGCTGGGCCTCCTGGTTCTCTTTGCTCTCGCCTCCGTCATGGCTGCTCTCTGACTTTCTGTCCAGTCGGTCCCTCCGCTTCTCTCTCTCCCTGCGCGCGGGAGGCTTTCTTCCATTGTTGTTCAGGACATTTTGTTGCTGCTAGAAAGAAAAAAAAAAGACAAATGTGCGGGGGTGGGGGGGGGGGGGGAGGGTGCAAAAACAGCTGTCATTCAGAGAATAAGTCTGATGTGTCCATTTACACAATAAAGACACCATTTAATGTTTTGCAGACGATACCACATAATTCAATGGCTTTAGTGTGCTGAATTGCTGTTTTTTCTAAATAACATCTACACATTTTAAGCCTCTTTTGTAGTCTAAAATAGCCAGATCACAACCCAGCTTCTCTCATGACTTATTTATGGTTCAGACATGTGATTTTAAGCCATTTTAATGCCACAAGACCCCTTTTTCTTTGTGCTTATAAGAATTTGTCTTATTCTTAAACATAAACAAACTAAACTGAGTTAGGGTAAGGGGTAGCTCGACTGAAAGAGTCTTAAACATGCTGGGTTGCTTTACGCGCTCCATCTGGCAAACAGAAATCAGAAAAGGCCTACATCTCGCTGCAGCTTTTCCCTCTCGCGCTATCATCTGGCCACGTGTCTCACCTCTTTGGCCAGCTCTCCAGGTGTGGGCCAGTTTGTGATATCACTGAAATCCCCTGACTGCGAAAAAAAAAGCAAGACACAGAACAGCGTAAGCAACTGGCAATGTCACAATTTCAGCAGTCAAAGGTTGCGTCCCATCGTCGGGAGTCGTTCCAACATTGTGTGCTCAGAGCAGGTAAAGGCCAGCTGGGAGGAGGAGGAGGTCAGTGCTCCGTCCATAAGCATACGGCAAACAATAATGATAAACAAGCTCAGTCATTTACCACCCCTGTGGATGTTGTAAATTTGGGCAGACTGATATGAGGTCAGGGTTAAAAAGACAGCGAGCAAAACTAGACTCTGAGCTGCGCAGTGGGATGGGCTCTCACCACAGGGCACCTAAAATGGAAGTTTTGGTTGCGGTTTTGCAAACGGGTGGCATTAAGGCCGACGATATTGATCCCAATGGGAATTGGGACTCTGTCCGCTGGTTTGAGTGTTGTGTTTTCAGTTCACCAACAGCAACAGCAAATAGAGCCTGAAAGCCATAAATAAAGTCTAACAACTACCTCTGTCATAACAAAAACAACATGATGACAGCTATTATTTTCCAATTTCCCAAATCCTCCTTTTATATTCCTTTGTTTGTGCTAGAACAGTTGCATGAAACAGAAAATTCCATTTTCACATGGTTTTCTGACCTTTCATGAAGTGGCGGTCACTGATAGGCTCAGCACATAATGACATCATCCTTTGTGCCAGTGAGTGATAGTGTAGTCATTTTCTATGTCCAGCAGTCTGTTTTAAAACACTTACAAGCAAACTAAAATATATCCATCTATTTTTGCTCATTTATCTGCTAGTTCCTTTCAAGAAGTTTATATTTGTATAGTGACAGAAAATGTTTGCGTGTGGGCTTTATCCATATGCTCTCCATTAAAAAAAAACAGGTTATCCAAGTGGCTTACATGGTATAAGAACATAAGTAATCAGCGTTTTAAACTTCCTTTTATATATTTTGGAGGGCATTTTGCTGCCTAAAAAGAACCATGTTCATAATGTGATGAATACCATCGAAAACTTGACAGTATTTAAAAGGGCTACAGATCTTAAAAACCCTACATATGGAACAAGTTCAAAACCATGGTCGTGACACTCAAAGACATCAAACAAGACGACATACCTCTGAAAATAAACATGAAACATGGAAGTTGCACAGATCGGATACGCTCGAGAGGCTATGTATGTTTACATCTTTGCTTAACATGTCATAATGACCAATTCGATATTGCTTTTTGAAGAGAGTCTTCTACAGCAACTCATTCAGAAAACGAGCAGTTGGGAAAACTGGTCGGAAAAGCAAACAGCTTTAGAAAAGCAGCCGAAACCAACTGACATTTGGCAGCAGATGTTTATTTCCCACTCTGGAGGGCAGTGCTTTATGCTAACTGAAACGTTAGCTTAAAAATCGGTCTTTCGTCAAGTAGGAAACAGGCAATGGGCTGGGACAATCCGAACACAAAGTCATTTTTAAAGTCAAACAACAGACCGAACCAACCGAACACTGTGGGATCGCTTGCCAAGATAAACTACTTGTACTCAGAATTAACGCTTATTGTGGTTTAAAAGAACAAAAAGACGGAACGGGAGCATTACCTTGCTGGTTTTTCTCGGCCTTGGCTTGCTGGCTCTGACAACTTTCAGAGTGTTCTGTTGATCTGCGGACACACAGTCAATGAATGAAACAGACATCCTTAATTGGCAGTAGAGGCCTGAATCTAACACACAAGTCGGTTCGGGAGTCAAGAGCTAAGGATCTTAAATCCTAAAAAGGTTGCTTAACACTCCAGCTAAAGAAAATAATTAAAAAATCCTGCTATCCGCTCGTGCACACTCGGGGCTGCCGTGGTTGGGATGCATTGAGGGGTTTCTGTCGGTAGAATGAACGCATGAACTCGGTCCTGGTGGGCCTAAAGACTGAAGCTGTGGAGGGTGTTTTGTGTACAAGTCAGCAGCGGTATGTGGCCGCGTCTCCACAGGCTGGGAGTGGCCCGCTGCAGCCTGACGGTCCCTATCGCTCTGCACTGGACGGCTCGATTGATAAGAAAGCAGGGCTGAGGCTCCCATATGAATGGGTGTATGCCCGAGTGAATCTGCAGGTGTCCACCCACAGGGCTGGTTGTACAGTAACCCTGTAAAATGATGCCTGTGCCAGAGCCGTGCACGTCAAATATAGCTCCCCCTCAGTCGCCGTGTGCTCTGACACACATTCAGAAGCCACATTTAACTGAGAGGGGGGTTTGAATTTGACACACAAAGCTGCTGCTCGCCGAAACAGATGGGATACCGACAGGTAAACCGTGCCATGATCAATAAAAGTGCAAGCTGAGGTTGAAACCGAAACAATCAGCTGATTAATGACTTAGTGGATCATGACAGGGATGGCATCCAGCCAATATTGATTACTAAAAGGCTACTTTAAGTAAAGAGGATCTGGACTTCTACTTTCAATTAATAGTAACAAACAAAAAAAATGACTGGATCCTTTCAGATACATAATGTGCTGTTCAAAGACCAAAATAAGAGCCAAACAAGACAGATCTATCTCTGTTAATATATATACCAAATGTACTTTTTGTACATATTACATTTTTGATCAATTACAAAGACAAACGTTTGTAAAGTGGCTTTGGAGGCTTTAGAGACAGGGCCCACAACCAGCTCCACTCGGTTCTACATATAACACCTGGGACGACTCCAGCAGTTTCATGGGTTTAAAAGTGATCCCAATCGAAAAGAAGGGCTTACAGTGACAAACGCCATCCAGCAGAAGATCTAAAAAGATACAAAAAAAGACAACAGAGTGTGTTCTGCTGCATTTTCACACCTCATTTGGTTCCAATTTAGCTGGTGCAAACTTTTTACATATTTGTCTTCTTCTGTTTTTTCTACTTTTTGCTCGGGGGAATATCTAAAAGGAAAAACGCAAATAATTGAATCTAGTTTCCAGTTCGTGGAAGTTGATATCTTATGTACTAGGAGTGTCTCTTTAGTTTTGGAAAAACTCGGCTTAGCACAGCTACAAGGAAGAGGACAGTGGGGTTAGACTATAGCCATTCTCACTTATTCTTGCTCGCACATTATGTTCACTCCAATCAATCCATTTGTTCATACACTCACAAACAAAAAAGTACACATATGCATGATGTGGGAAAAAAATTGAAATGTTAAGAGGTGGAGCTCTTAAAAGTGTCCTTATTTTTCATGTGCAAAAAACTCACTGGTACGTCTAACCCCCTAGCTTCAACCTTATTTACACTGCAAGGAAAAATATGCATTAGTTAACTTTAACTCCACCCGTCCAACCAACTTGTTCCCCTACGTGTGCTTTCACTAGTGACATCGAGGAGCTGGCTGGTGGGAGGAACTGCAGGCAGCCCGGCCATTGGACATGCAAAACGTGCCTTTACAGCAGCAGACCAGCTAGCCTGACGGAATTAGCTTGATCGTACCAAGTCAGCACAATTTTTTTTTTTTTTAAAATAGGCTGATTCGGCCTAAGGTCGAGTTTTTTCCCTTGATTTTAACCCACCAACACAAGCCCTGGTCCCTTTTTTGTCACCGGCCGCTACCATGAAGGTGGGGAAGAGGGGGGGGGGCAGCAGGGGCGATAGCTGCTGGTGGCTAAAGAAGTAGCAGTTGTCAGCAATCAACACGTGGTGCTCAGTGGCAATCCGAGCACGGAGGGGGATGGGGGGCAAATGTGCTCACAACACCAGCCCGTCCTCCTCTGACATTCCGAGTTTTTGCATTTTTATTCGTTTCGGGGCCCCCCCCCCCCCCTCTCCGTGGGGAAGCTGTCAAAACCCTGGGACGACGTGACGGATAGCTGCCGCCGAGCGAGCCGTCCGCCGTTACCATATTGTTGGGTTTCCAACTGTCTAAAAGCATGGAAATAAAAATATTAAAAAAACGTCTCACCTTTCTCTTGGGGGCTCGAGTTCATGTTATTAACGGGCACTCTGCCCGTGGTCCTTTTCGTCCACGGGTTGACTTTCGGTGGAGGAGCCTCCACAACTTTCTTCTTCACGGTCTCAACAGCCGAGTCAGCGTTGCTGCTTTGGTCGTTTTCTTTATCTTTTTCTTTGCATTTCTTGTGCGTGTCCGTCGGGCTCTTGGTCGACTCGGACCTGTTGGCATCCGACAGTTGTTTCTCCGAGCATTTTTGCCCCTGGTTCTCTTGTTCTTTGTGCAGGTGAGCCCCCTCCGACTTGTTTTGGTTCTTCTCTTGGACTCCGCCGGAGCTGGCCGCTGTCAAACCTGAGTCAACCTGACTACACTCAACCTCGGTGGACATCCTGCTAGTTTCCTAACAGCGCGCAGTGTTAAATCCAGTGTGGATTCTTGGTCCCGGCTTTCTTATCCCAGAGAAAAGTCGTGAAAAAAGCTTAGGGGGGCGACCGCATCCACAACTCGGGGTAAACAAATTTTGGGCTGGACCTCGCTAGCCAGCTAGCCAAGTAGCCTCCGCAGCTAACTGTTAGCTAGCCAGGGACCATGCAGAAGCCAGCGAGCCCAACTTCAATTATTTTTCCCCCAACAATGATAGACTATTTCATGTCAACAAACAATTACCTCCGAACCACTAGTAGTCTGCCATGAAAACGATACGATATAATTTAAATCTTTCGCAAGTTTCAAGAACTTTTTTTTTTAAAGTAAAAAGTACCACAGCGACCTCCTCTCTGGGTGTCTCTAGTTTCAACTCCACGCTACCAGCCAGGAGCTCGTGCTGCCTGCTATCCTCATGCTGTAAACACTGATTCTGCTGCCCCCAGCGGTCACCCCGGGAACTGCAGCATGCTCACATCTGTCTGTGCCTCCATCGAGACCTAAATTGGAGCACAAAAAATACAAAAAAGTACTAAAATCACAAGTGATACACATTTTTTTTACTTTGTGTCTTTGACAGAATATGGAAAAAATACCATAATTGTACATAGTAGAAACAAAAATATTATTAACCCATAATCATTAAGCCAAATATTAGAGTCTATACACCGAGTTTAGTACCGGGGTCATTATTTATGCACAAAAAAAAATAGTAAGCTGCATAGCTTCATTGGGCCTTGCCATCAAAATCCAGTGATGTCTCGGCTTCAAACTGCTGAACGGTCACTCTGATGGCCACAGGAGCTTCAAAACATCCGTGAATGTGTATGTACATACAAATAGTGTTGAACTGTGTAACTTTCCATGGAATATAGCTATGTAAAGGATCAAATGATTTATGCAAATGTTTCAGATCTATGCTTGTAAATCACATATTGGAAATGAGGTGAAAACGTATAAAGTTGGTTATATGCTGTTGTAAAACAGAAATGAAAATTCATTAAATTAATTAAATCTATCCATTCAGTTGGAGTAAAGTTGCTGCTTTTACGTATTGAAAAATGATCAGTTGGGATGGTTTATAAATCCGATAAGGATGCCTCATGGTCACCTACATTTTGAGATTTTTAAGGCCATTAAAAAAGCCATTAAAGGCTGTGGAAGAAAATGGATATATGCAATTAAAAGAAAATGTCACCCACATTTAAATAAAGAAATAATTGGAAAAATAACTGTATCAGGGGTCTTGTTTATTTCCTTGAGAGAAGTTTTTGTTTGTCTTTTTTATTAATTGTTAAAGTTCAATTGTTGTTTTGAAAAAGCACAGACTTCTTCATATTAGGTTGAGGTTATTCTCATTAACACAAAAAACATAATAGTTTTAAACATATTTTTGGGGGACTTGTGGGAAATAACCAGTACCATATTCACCACCACCTAGGAGTCCCAAACCAACAGGACAGGACAACATTCATCCATTTCTGAAGAAGTGAGCTACCTGTCTAAATATCCTCTTTCGAAGTCAGCTAAAAGTGAAATGTATGAAAATATAGAAATTAAATAAAAAGTAAGCCATCCCTAATGTTGCTTTATGAATTAAACTGATGGAATGGAAACACGTCTACCTTAAATCCTCCCTCTGACGTATTACAGTTTTACCTACAGGGCTGTGGGTCGTACTGTAACGAACCACAACACTAACGCAAAAGTCACAACATGAACGCTCAAGTCATAACAAACGCAAATGTCACAACCCCGATAAAACGCAAACAATGCAACTGAAATGCATACGCTGCATGTGATATGTGAGCATGTGTGTTATATATGACTGGTTTGCATCTTGAAACATGTCTGTGGAAAGGCCAGAGGACTCGGTATTAAATGACCAAACATATCACAGAGCCGACAACAAACAACCATCTGGGGAAACACAAAATTGGGAAACCCCAGTTGGGTTTCCCAAGTAGGCCAAAATATATAGCCCTGATTCTTTTCTCCCAGGCCCCACATGTTAGTTTGAAGAAAGCGTAGAGGAATATTACATTTGGATAGGTTAGTGGAAGACCAGTGGGTGTTTAAGCTTAAGCATTCACTTATTTTCTTTTACTTTTTTATTATTGTCTTTATGCTCATATTAAGCTTCATAAAAAATAAAAAAAAATTGGAGCTTACATGAATTGTTGCAATCCAAGCTTCCTTTGTAGTATTTGAGTTGTGTTTTTGTTTTCATTTATGAGCTCCCTGGCGTTATGCACTTTTTAGACTGGCATCAAATTATTTTTGTCAAACACAAAAATGTGTGGTATGACAAGAAAAATGTCTCCCAAGGACAGCTAGATCACATCAGCCAAAATGACCCTATCAGTTTGATCGTTTTTGCTTGGAGGCAGACAGTGAAAGATGAAGATTTTCAGGAATTATAGATCTGATGGCTGAATTTGAATGGGAGATCTTTACTTTAATAAACTGATACGAGTCTGATCGCCATGGAAACATTTCTGTTAAGGGGTGGATAAAGACAAATTCATTAAACTTTTATGGGATAAGTGTTGTTAGATATTTTTTAACGATAATGCATGTTAAACTAGCAGGAAAACATTAATATGTGACGGTTAAAACTCTATCTATCCAGCATCTGTCAAAGGTGTATTTGGCTTTTATTCCAATTCTGCTTTCGGGCAACAAATGTGAGCACGGTAACGTATGTCAAGTTTATTAAGTCATGACAGCTGTTTCTCCCGTTATTTTAATGGCCCGGAAAAGTCGACAGACAGAGAGTGTTTCGTTCGTTTGTAACGAGGGGTGTTGTCCAGCTCGCTACAGAGGGACTTCTACCTTTTGTCGAATTTATCTATATAGCTGTTTACTTTTTTGGGGGGCTCGGACGTGGTCGCCATCTTGGCTGTTTTTACGTCGCGTGCGCGGAGTTTACTAGCGTGAACGTACACCTGTGCTAATCCCATCTTCATCTACAAACCCACGTCGTACGTAACAGAAACACAGTGTCTGACGCATTTAGTAAAGCAAATAACAGAGGTCAGCGAATCAGACCGATGCGTGATTACTATGATGTTAAAGTTGTTCCGCATCCGTATGGCCATAACTGGAAACGTTCAAGCCAGAACAGCTCCCTTACCGCCCCCTCGTGGTGGAAAATAAGTACTGCACCAAGTAGGCATTACCACTGGATTCTGAGGAGATTTTTTAACATACTTTTTCTTTTTGGTGCCACATAAAGAGGACAGTTATTACAATGGAGGAGATTTTTTAACATACCTTTTCTTTTTGGTGCCACACAAAGAGGACAGTTATTACGATGAAGTTAGATTGGAGAACCATCCAAAAAAGGTGTTATATCTTCTAATTAATTTGATTTTTTCTTATCTACTTCTATACTTCCTTATGACAGCGGATCAGGATAGTGCAAAAATAATGTCTTTAGGAACACAACAACAAAACTTTCAATTTTTCACAAGCAAGAATGTTGGATTTGCTGGACACAGGAGCTTAGGTTGTGAAGGTCCCCTCTTGTCGACTACAGGTCTTAAAATCCGTTGTATTTATTTTTTAATTTAAAATCCACTGCTGCATATTAGAAGAAAAGCAAAGGGGAAATGTATGTGCGGACACATTTATATGTCTGCACATCCTCAATGCAACGTTTTGTTTTAAGAAAGAAGAGTCTTCGGCCACAGGTTCTCTCAGCTTCTCGTTCATTACAATAGAAATACCTCTACACCAGTCTTTACATTGAGAATTTGATCTATGTTTACAGTTTTTGTTTGATGTTATATATTTGTTTGAGAGATAATTCAAGTCAAAGTGTGATAAAGTTGCTAAACCCATAGCAAAACTCCTGATATTTCACTAATGGGGAGTTTGATTTTTTCTTTTGTTTAATTAGTAGGAGAGAAATTAGATAACCTCATTTGTGGAATTTACCTTAATATGAGCCCACAATTCTCTATAAAAAAAAAAAAAAGAATCCAAAATGTTATATAATATCTATAATGTCAGAACTTGACCCCTGTCATGACTTGTGTCTTGACAAGGGCACATTATCTTAGGCTTTACGTGAATTTCTTGTCCTTATTTCCATCTTAAAGCCTTATCTTTTGGACAATCTTAAACTTGAGTATCATTATTAAGCAAATGAAGAATGTCAGGTGACTACAATTAACTGTAACCTGTTTAAACTTTATGGTTGTCAAAGTGTGGGGAAGTCTGCAAAATACCCTCACGTTACATGTCAGGGTTTTGTCCCCAGATGTCATGATGCCATGGGGTCACTGTTGGGGTCAGCTGGGGATGACCTCACAGTATTTTCCTTCCCCCTCCCCTCCCCTCATCATTTCTTCAGGTTTCTTCCTGCTTGAAGGTAAACAAATGGACGAAGCGGCGATTAGCGTTACAAAGATGAAAAATGTGATCGTGCCGCGCGAATTAAAGACCGTAAAATGCCTGGACAAAAGAGAAGATATAATGTACGATTCCCTCCCGTAAGTGGAAACTTTATCATGATCCTTTAAAGTTTTTTGAAAGTAATTTAAAGTGAACCTATTACAGAATACACCTAGCTCAGATTGCAGAGCGTCAATTAGCCTCGGCGGCGTTAAGAGACCACCGGAAATTTGGGGTTCTACTGACATTCCTACCGAGTGCTTCCCTTTGTTAAAATATATTCGGCTCTGGGTCAGCTAGGATATTATATTGTTTAAAAATGATTGATACGTTGTTGTGTTTTTTAATCATGCTAATTAGTTTGTGGTGCACTGGCTCAGTAAAATGAATGCTTCAACAGAAAAACTAACCGTGCTCGTGGGTAAATTTAATAAAACATAGTTTTTCCTTACAGAGCCGCATTAAAAAAATCATGCAGAAGGACACAGAGGTGGGGAGGATTGCAATGGCGGTTCCTGTGATAATCTGTATCCTTCATATGTTGTTATGCCGTATCTTTTTCGGCTCTGTAAATTACTTGTTGGTTTTGTACCTACCTTTCAGAAGTCTTTTAACACAGCATCGTCTTTTTGCCTGTCTAAGCATGCTGGGAGTTGTGGTTCAAATGCCTAGGAAAACGCCTTTGGAAGGACAGTTATTTTTCATAAATTTCAAGAAGCACATAGTAATAATGATCATTTAGAGTCCAGCCTTGATTGTTTGTGCTCTTTTTATTTGTATGTAGACCTAGTTGAAATAATTTGATTGAATCTATAACGCTTCAGTCTTGTAAAACAGTTTTTTTCCAGCATCCCCTCAGTATTGATCATCAAGCTACTCCCTTTAACCGAGGTTAGTGCCCTAATGGTTATATAACACTTATGATTATTAAGAGGATCCTACAGACACTGACCAAGTAGGTCAAATATACTATATTCTTTAATTATTGTCATTCCACAGTAAACACTTTGAAAATAGGTCCTTCCAAAAGATTTGTTGTATTCAAACTCATGGAAAAGTGTATTTTTGTCAGACAATAAATCTCTGAGTGTCATTTTTCAGCTTGTTGTCATTGTGCAGTTGTTTTTGTTTCTCTTTATGATCACTTTATTTATTTTTGTGCATTCTTTTAATAGTGTTTGCATGTTTTGTTTCATTGAGGTCATCGTTCCTGTCTGTGTACATTTAGTGTCTTTTTTTGTGCATTTGTGTGTGCCACTTTGACTGCATCAGGGCAGGAAAAATCCTCCCACATATATTTGCATTCATCCCCATTTGTGTCGTTTGTTTTAGTATTGGTACTCACTAAAGTTTTGCACAGTTTCCATCGAATGAAAAAGCTAAACGTGGAACAATATAGCTTACACAACCTGTTGGGAGTTTTGTTCAATTTAGAATTTTACATAAGATTCCTCAAAATTCTATTATAATGTGAATTCCTAAACCGCATGAACAGCTCGTGCGCTGGAGATGTTTCTGAAGTCCCTGCTCACCAAAACCTGTCTGATAACTCAGTCAAAGTTCAGCACGGTGATATCTTTGGCTCACATGTGAGTAGATCTGTTGCCCCTCCATCGCACAACTCAACCACATTAGCTGGATGTAATCTGGTGTACAGATGCCCCACGTTCCCTGACTCAGACCAGACTTAGAAAAAAGACTGAACAGCTATTTTGATAGTCGTCGTTTCCATATTTACCGTGTTCTCAAAAATGTAGTAAATCTAGTCATTTTGGTGCATCTTTTCTGCTGTATTCCCAAAATGTTTACACCTTAGAATAAACCCGCAAACCTTCTCAAAGTCCGGGTTCTAATTGAAATTCAATGTGAATGTGTATATGAATGAAATGTACGTAACTTTTCTTCTTTTTTTTTTAAACACAGAAAGCAATGCATAGAGTCAGAAAATCTCTTCCATTTCCTCAAAGGCCTGGCTGAGGTAGCCACTTCTACGGCAGCCCAGGAGGACAAAAGAGGCATGAGCATGTGGTCTTTGTACAGGTAGATATGGACGCACATTTTCAGCTTTGACGATCGTAAACTGCTATTGGTGGTAAAGACAAGTCTCCTCTAATTTATTTTTGTATTTATTTATTATATATATATATATTTCCCCCCCACACACACACGGACAAATCAATACAAGCAATTTGTGCCCAGCACTTCAAATGAAATTTAACATTCAAACGATTAAGGAAGGGAAAAAACGTCTGGCTTTCCATTTTGTTATGCAGAACCACTGAATCTATACCGATGCTTATATACGCTTATATCCAGGCACAGTTGAAGCGTTTGACAGACGTGGAATCAATATTAGATAGTCAGGAGATTGACAGAAAATCAATCATTCGACCTGCCATCTCCAAATCGATCGGGGAATTTCGGCGGGGATCAAAGGTCACAATCTTATTCCATCACAGCGGGCGGACGAGTGTGTCTTTGAAGCAGGTAATAGTTGGTGAGCGAATCGTTCAATGGGTATCTAATTTACATTCATGGCCTGGGGAAACTGTTATTTGTAAAAAAAAAAATTAAAAAAATGGGTGAAGCTGCACATTATGCCACTCAGGACACTTTGTAAATTACAACAAAAGCAAATTGCAGGCTGTGTGTGTCATGACGATGGAAACCTCTCTCAGTTTGCAGCGTTTAAACCTTATATATGTTTTACTTAATTCTTTTCATCCGATTTACTGATGCATGTTAGAAAATAAGCATTACTTAATCCACAAAACTGATCAATACTCTTATATACCATATATATTCTATTATGTATTTAACATATATCACGGGAATAATAAAGTAATTTGAAATGAATTGAACTGAATTGAATATTGCTGATTCAAAGTTAAATTAAATTCTTTGCAAGTATGACGTCACTAACAGGAGTGAAACACAAAGGGATTTCGGTTTATCATAATATTCAGCGTTTTTACTCCTCTAAAAGCCAGCTGACAAACTCTGTTGAGGTATTTGCTTTTAAAAAACACTATAAAGCCATCTTGATGTCACTGAGCGGTGCTTGGTTCTTCCACTAAGTTGGAAGTGAGTTTGTTTGTTCGTCTTCTCACCATTGCTGGCTTTTTCTTTATTTTTTCCGAAGGAACAAAAGGCACGAAATTCCCGTCAAACCCCCCACCGAGGCAGCAGAGATGGCACCGCGAAAGAGCCTGGTCTCGCAAGAAAATGACTCCAGCTCCAGCGTATGTATATACACACACACACACACACACACAGTTGGACGACCGTGCGAGGGGTGTGTTAAAATGCCCCCTAGCAGTCGAGGGTCACAGGAAAGCTGTTGGCCGTTCACAGGTTAGGAAAGTATGGAACTTCCCCTGTTGCTCCACATTTTTTGCCCTATTTTTAAACAGGCGCCCTCAGAAATGCTGAGTTAGGTTTCTGTCTCTTCCAGGAGTCGGAGCTCTACATCTGCCTGTAGCTGCGGAGGCCGTCTCATCCCCAAACTCCATCTTTGTTTAAGCTCAGTCGCCTTCAGGATCAGGAGAGAAAAAAAGACCTGACATGGATATGAAGAAAATTGAATTTATTTAGCAAAATTTTTTTGGTTGTAATCAGGCTCCTTGATTTTTTCTTTGGAAGTATTTTGTTTTTCCTTTTAGGATATTTTGGAGAACCTGAACATTTGTTGGGAGTTTGAAAATGTAAATAAGTTGGTCGTTTTTTTCCCCCCCGTTTGTGAGAAAGTTTCAGTTTAATTAGCGTTGGAGTGGAAGATTTACCTGGGTTTGAGAAAGTGTTTTTCTTTTTTTACTTTTTTTTTTGTGTGGCTCCAGCTATTTTTCTCCTCGTTGAAAACGGATGACGTGACCTGCAGCCATCTTTAAAAACCCAACTGAGTGCTTGTTTTACTTAGCAGCTGTTGCAGCTTCTTGTTTTAAAGCACTTGTAAATTAATGTTTTAAAAAAAAAAGACTGCAAATGAAATGAAATGAAATGTAAATAATGGTGACCGCTGTAAATAGCACGCGTGTTCAATAAAGGATTAGAAATAAAGAGCTCACAGGGATTTTCTTTATTCCAAGAAACTATTTATTTATTGATTTTTTTTTTTTCCAGCACTGTGAGGGATAAATAGATGCGTTATATTCCGAAAGCTTTTTACTGGATATTTACAACTGAGAGCCAAATATAGCAAAATGTGTCTTTCACTGCTATGCGAGCTACCTGCAAGAAGAACCCAAACAGTTCCAACACTGATAAACGTTTGCGTTATTGTCCGGCTTGAGCTCTGAGGCCTTACAGTTAAAGCTCAGATCCAGTAAGAGTTCTACCCCCTCCAGCCCCACTAAAATTAAACATGCATCTTGGCCCGGGACAATTTTCACTCTTCTTCACGACAAATACACTCGAAATGAGTAACATAAGTACAAAATAATCGTTTGTTTCCAAAGCAAGATCCCTCTCTTCCTCCAAATAAAAAGAAAACTGGCATTTACTGTAATTACATATGTATAGACGTGGAGGCCGATTTACATTAGTGGTTCAGTAGGTTCCTCTTTACTTTATTCAATCCATTTTTCAGCAAGACCAAAAAAAAAAGGCACGGTCCATTAACACTCCTGTGAAGAGCTGACCCAAACACTGAAGGGTGATTTTAAAAAAACAAAACGACAAACAAAACACCTTAATTTAAATAGATTCAGAAATTAATCATTTCGACTTACAGTGACCGACCGACCGTGTCTTTTGACTCGTCGTACAAATGTACACCCGGGTGTTTTGTGCACGAGAGGACCATATTAAAAGAGAAAAAGAAGAAGAAGGAAAAAAAAAGAAAAAGAAGAGGACAGCGCTAAAGAAAAGTATCTTCAGAAGAGCCGGGCTCCATAACCAAAAGTCTGTTTAATAGCCTCAAAGTAGTATCTCTTCCAGCCCTCTTTTGTCTGCTCCTCTTGGCTGTCCGGGACTCCTCGACACTCCACCTTCAGCTCGGTCTCGCTGCACCGGTCCAAGAAAGTCAGCGTGATTGTTGCATAATGCTCTGTAAGCAAAGAAAATGGGAAAAAAAAGAACATTTAAAAAAAACAACAACAGTCACAGTGTTACATACAAAATGACTCCACTCTTGACAAAGGCTTTTATACGGTGAATAGTAAAACTAAATGCTAACTGCATTTAAAAAAGATAAAAGCCGTTGTCCCAGCTCTGATTTATCTGGTCGTCCAGCACAGCAGAGTTCTGACATTTGAGAAGGTGTGACCAGCCTGCTCTACGTTTGTTCTCAAGCCGAGTAAAAGCACCTACCACTGGGCCAGTTGTTATACCGCCACTTCATAACTATCTTCTCATCGGGGACCTGTTGGAGAGAGGGGTTGGGGGTTGGATTTAAGCCGTTCCGAGCCCGGGATTGATGCCTTCAGACGCCCGAGAGGTTGCACGTTTGTCTTACCAGCTCCGTAAATTCCCCGAAAACATTCCCTTCTAGCAGACGGAACTTCCCGCCCTTCTCTCCGTCGACTGTGGCAGAGCTGTGGGTGAACGCCTGCACCATCTGTGGGATCCGCACAAAACAAAAACTTACTCAGATGAGGCCCCAAACGTGCCTCTTTTTATACCCCCCCCTACCCCCATCAGCTCTGCTGTCTTACATGACAACCGGTGACCTTTAGTGGACGGCTTAAAGCAGAACCTGTTGAAATAAATATGAACGGTTTCGGCTGCATGGAACTCACCTCCTGGTTGACAAAAACTCTGTAGAGGTCAGCAGGGGAGGTTCGAAACTTGTCTTTTATGCTGAATTTACAGGTAGGGATCTTGACACCAGTGTTAACTGGAGTTGCTGTGCAGCTTGAGGAGGAAATCTGATTCGGAAACAAATTGGGGGAAAAAACAAAACAAAGAAACAGCAGATTTAAATGACTGCCATAACGAACAACAACGAAAAAAAATCTTCTTTACATGTGAAGTTAAGTACTTGGGAACAAAACCCACCTGAGTTTTATCCTGCTTGGCTTTGGACTGTGAGGTGGACTGAGGCTTGGCTACGCCGTTAGCTGTTGGCAGGATCATGCCTTGCGTGAATTCTGCAAGAATCCAAATGCAAATATCGTTTTGTTTAGGAATCCCACAAATGAATAAAAAATGGTTTGAGTCTAAAATGACACAAACTTGTGTGAGAGGTCTTTGGACTACCGTATTACGGATACGATTTATGAAAAAAAGAAAATCAAACTCTGGGCCTTTTGGGCCGCCGATCTACAGGTTTTGGACATTTCCCAGCAACAAATTATCTCAGTTTGATTAAACGGATCTGTGTAAGACACTTTAAAGCTATCCACACAGCCACTAATGGTGTATTAATGCGAATCAGGTATTTCATAGCAGGGAGGCGTTCAAAACCAACAGGACAGCGGCCCTCTGGAATCAGATTCAAGGAGCAATTCGCAATTTCCCCTTTTTATAGCTAAATTACAGCCTATTCACTGGGTTTCTCAAGCATGTGTCAATCATAAAACAGCTAAAACATATACACACACACACACATTGTTAATAGTTTGTTTTTTAAATGGAGCATTAAATAGACTATATAGACCTGTTTCTGTACAGATTCAAGCTAAATGTTTGTATTATACTACTTATTATTCATTCTTTTTTTTTTCAAATAATGATTTTCATGTCACAAACCTGTTTTTAGAAACCCAACGTAACTCCCCAGCGCAATACGGATTTTCTCTGCCCCCTTGGTTTTCATCAGGCTCATCAGCGCCGTTTCGGGCTCGTCTTTGTTCAACGACACGGAAATCTGGAAACATGATGGACGAGAGGGCAAATCAGAGCTGAAATTCACCAATGAACAGTTAGGATCCCTGCAAACAAGCCCTCTGGCGACACTTACATCCAGATCCTCCATATCATTTTCATCTGACAAGTTTGGAACTTCAATCGTTCCTTTATACTTGACTCCACTTTTCGACTTTCCTGGGAGAAATGGAGAAAAAAAAAAGTATGTCACCAAAGGTTCAAAGCCCTATAGTTCCCACCATGGGAATCGTTGAAGAGAGCACATCAATAGAGACCCAGGATTTTCTACTAACCAGTCCAAGTGGCTTTTAGGTTCCATTCATAAAAGAATATAAGTTTCCCTTTGCGGTTGTTAATTGAGGCTTCTCCCTCCACCTTGCTGACTTCTGTCACTTCACAACTCCCCTCTTCACTCTCTACGCTCAGCCCCAGAAGCAAAGACTTAAGCTTTTCCGATGACCAATTCGTTGCGTCCCTTTCGGTCCTGAAAAGTCCAGCAGATACCACAAGACAACATGCTGTTAATGGGATTCGGGTCTCAAATCATCCACTTTTCACATGAATTCTGCACCCACATAAAAACTCCACTGAACATATGCTAATTCAATGGGCCATGTGTCAAACAATCTCTGGAAACATGTCGGTAACAATATGTGTTGAGCTAAGAATGGGAAATCTGAATTATTCCAATCTACAGGTAAAAGAGTGTAGGCAAGAAGAGACAGCTACTAGTTTATTACAGCTGACCCCGTCCATCCTTCGAAATCCTTTGCATGCATTCATTTCTGAAGAGCTGTGTGACACTAATAGAAACCTAACTGTATGACAGTAACAGTAACATTACTGTACCATTACACACACACATACGTGATGTAAACCTAACTCTTTATGCTATTTTTGTTCTTTTTAAATAAAGTCTTCTTTTTTGTATCAAAATTAGCTCTCTCAAAAACTAAGGCCTGAGTACACCAGTTAGTGGTACATTGGAGAATAATGTTTTAAACTTGAACACAATATGGTCTATTACAGCTACTGGGACAGCATAGTTGATTCATTTTCATTTCCAGCAGCAAAATTATGAAACAGTCACGTTGCAACTTGGTTTATCACACGTGTTTACTAATGGTGAAAAAAAAACAAATTTAACCGAATGATAAGCAGACAATGCGTGTTATTACATAGCTATCGAAATTATACGCCGGTAAAAGTCGGTGGTATTAACAACTACTAACATGTTGCAACTCAAGCCGCATGAGATTGGAGTGTCAGTTGCTACAAGCGAAGCTAACTTGGGAAACGGTAACATAATCTGTAACGTTGGACATGGCCTAGAATTAAACACGCCTCACTCAAAGTAAGAAACAACCTACGCCCATTACCAAATAATAAAAAAAGAAGAGAATAAAGCTGCAGTTTGATAACAATATGAGCTGAACGCGTGCTTCTTGGATTAGCAGGCTAGCTAATAGTCAGTGTCCTTTCATCGTGTCTCACCAGTGCCAGTTGTTGACATTAGTCGCATCAGCTCTCTCCTCGACAATCCAACGAGGGTCCCCTTCTCCCCATTTAGCCATATTTTACAGATAAATAATATAATAAAAACGCTTAACGTTTGACTGTGTACAGTGAATGTGCCTGTCTGCCGGCGAGCGTCCGCTACACGATGCCGCTTATTCTAGAAGCCTCTGGTTGCTGGCTCTCTAGTGGTGCTCCTGCGTTTATTCGCCGATCATAGAAAATGCTGGAAGCGGAACTTTGTAGAACGAGCCGAGAAAAAAAAAAAGTTCCCTTTACCGGAAGTCGTGTTAATTAAGAATAGTTCCGCGTTAGGGAAAAACAAATTACCTTTGCTGAAAGTTTACAGACAGCAACTACTATTTATTACTATTTATTCCAAGTACAGTATCAGGAAATTACAAAGCACGAGCATTTAATGCATTTATACGTTTCAACAAACGTGTTGTTACATGTAAAGGTTTGCGATGCTAGTAAAACTGTAAATGAATAAATACATCGGCGGACCTTCAGCGATTCTGTTTGGTTTCTCTGTATTTCAAAACTCTCCTGTCTTACATTCAGTGAAGGGGGACATGTCTTTTGCTGCGTTACTATCTACAAAACCTACCTCATTCCAATTTTTGTCCTGTTGTCAGCAGATTTCAGAAATAACTACATTGCTTAAGAAATGGGCAAAACTCCAAACAGCACTAAGTTGTTGGCATATGTAGAGTAGCATTTGAAAGCCTCCAAACAGGAAATATTCAAATGCTTGTGTTTTGTATTGTACAGTAATGGAAGGGTGTGGAGGATAGTTCTATTACCTATAATAACATGCAAGAAAGTAGCTAGGGGGGTTGCACAAAACAGACGCAATAAGGCAAACTGGACACAAACAATATGATGTTATTTGGCTTTCACGTCTTCGTCCCACTACCCAAAAACATGCTAACTGCCCATTGCTATGGACAGGAAACCTGTCCAGGTTTCTACCCCGCCTTTTGCTCGCTGTCAGCTGGGATAGGCTCCACCCCAACCACAAAAAAACAAAGTAAACAGAAAATGTAAGAGTTTCAAACATGAGCAACCTGGCCTACAGCAGAAAAGAGTTATGAACATCTGCAACAAGCAATTTCAGGTTGTATTTTATTCAGAACCACTGTGTTAAATTCAATATATAAAAAAAGACTACAGTAAGCCAAGGCACGTGAATATGCAGAAGGGCTTAAGTTTGTACAATATTAAGAGACTACAAAATGCAAATTTGGAGGTTAGAGAGGAAGCATTTCACATCTGGTGGCCAAATGAGAAACTTTATACAATTCCCTTCCCTTTTTTATGTAGATTTTCTTTGAAATGTCTTGCCTCTGCACTCTGTCACTTTTTGTGGCTGTTCTACACAAAACAGACTATTTGGCAAGAGAAAATACAGATTTCGAAAGTCATTTTAAAAACATTGGGCCGCAGTAATTTGAATGGTAATTTTGTCAGCTAATGCTGTAGTATTAAAGTCGGGTTTGGCTGGAATGTAGTATTGTTCTTAAAATGCTCTCAAAGAGCTAAAAAAGAAACATAGTCTAAAGGTGAAAGTTTTTCATTGTGTTAGTTAAAAAAAAAATCATTTGGATTTCAGCTGTACTACTGTAAGCTAACTGTTCCCCTATGCAAATATTTGTACTACTGATGCAAAAAATTGGAACTTTGGAGCATGTGTGGACTGTGAAGGCCCATCTGGGTCCAGTTAAGTGTATGCACGCAGCTGGGATTTGACACACAAATGCATAATTTGGATTTGGTATGATTTATGTTGGTTTAAGATGTGTTTTCAAAAAGTTGGACTAATACACTATTTATGAAAACATGTATTTCTTCCAAATAATAATCAGAAAAATGATTGCATTATTTTATGTTTATCAATTAAAACCCACTAGCTGTGTGTAACAAAGATGTTTTAGTGCTTGAATATACTCAATCTGCAAATGAGGAAGGAGCAATTCATTCTTATTTCTAGTAGGGTCGTAGGATGACTGGAGGCCATCCCAGCTGTCACTGGGTAAAAGGTGGGACACATTCCGGACAGGTTGCCAGTGCACCACACCACCACAGATGCATACCAACTTGTATTTTACTTGGTCCCAGCTTGTCTGGAACAGAACATTTTCCAGTTATGGAATAAGTGGGTGAATAATGGTGTGGCAAAATGTTCGCACAACCTCCTAAATGTTCAGGAGTTATAGAGATTATGCAGAAAAGATATGATTTCTTATTAGACAGGAATTAAGGCCACTCAAGAAATGGCTAAGAGGACATTTTCACAAGACGAGTTCTCAATCTTAACTTAGAATATTGCCAGTTATGGTAGAGTGGACACTATATGCTTGTTTCATCTTTTAAACTGGATTTTCAGGATCCTGTGCACACAGCCCATTATGGGCAATAAAGTAAATTACTGTGTCACTTAAATGAGACTCCAAGAATCCATTTCAGTGTATTTCTAATCGTCATTACAACAAGTACAACGAAATTAGGTGTCCTACCTTTTGTGCTTGGAAAAACAAGGTTGGGCCAGAGATACTTACAAAGGATAACTAAAATGTCTAAAAAAATCCATCCATCCATTTTCTATACTGCCTATTCCCAATGTGGTTATAGGGGAGGTTGAAACCTATCCCAGCTGACAACGGGTGAGAGGCAGGGTACACCCTACCTGGACAGGTGACCAGTCCATCACAGGGCCACACAGAGACAAACAACCAAACACACACGCAAACTCCATACAAAAAGGTCCCGGTTCCCCCAGGAACAATGCTAACCACCACGCCACTGTGCCGCCCTATAATGGCATCAGTGACACAAATCAATTATCCAATATAAAACCCATCTGTGTACGTTCAAAGTCTGTTTCTGTAAAATCCAAAGTGTCATCAACAGAATGCATTAAGACTAATGGGGCGTACACTCACACTGTGATATGTTGGTACGGTGTAACTGCCCCAAATGGGAAAGAATGTACGTGGTTAAGGTTTATGGCGCTGGTAAATTTAGACCAGTTAAAGGAGCCAAGGAATTTCTCAGTTTTTACGATGTATTAACAAAAACTTGTGAAATTCAAGGATAAACAGAAACGCCAACGTAAATAAACATCTTAAGAAAATGCTGAATAATCTTAATCCTGGATCTAATTTGAATTACGGCAAACTCTAATAAGTGTAAAAGTGACATCTCTTTGCAAGAGCAGACTGAATGTGGAAAAACCCCACAAAAAGGGTCAGCAACCACCGGCTAAATCTGTAGGTCTGCATTCAGATACTTTCAAATTAGAAAAAGTGATTGAAAACTGTTTTTTGTGTTTCCTGAATCTATAAATATGAGGCGTGAAACATTTTTTACCACCATAAATATAATTTTCTGATAAATTGTTACACTTGACATTGCTGTGTGGAAACGAAATGCTTTGCGAACAAATCAACGACAAGTTATGTTTTCGTGTCGCCAAACACTGGCTTTCGCTTGTTTGTCAAAGGTATTAGAGGGGGGGGACAGCAGGCAGAAATCTTTAGAGAGGAATCCCAGGCATATGGCTTGCTTTTGTCGGCTCCCCTCCCCCTCCCTTCCTTCCCTCCTGCCGACCGCTCCACAGCAGCAGAGCGGAGGTACTTCAGTTTTTGAAGCCGTGGCATGAATGATCTCATCTGAACCTGATCTCCGCTTTCCCTGTCGTCGATCCTATGAACGAGACGGGAATAAAATAACACAAATACGAAGTGAGTACGACCACTCGGACATTGGGCAGCAGTTTCTTACAGGACATTTGGGCGACCGTTTGTTATTTTTGGGGAACTTAACAGCCGAGCCGCGGCGAAAACTCTTGTTTTCGGTCAGAAAGGAGGAAGGACCGCGGAAGAAGGGTGGGTGGGCGCTATTAGCGCATTAGCTTTCCGCATGCTAGCTTTATTTATTTTTATTTTCTGATAAAGGGGAATGTTAAGCGGGGAGTGTCGAATGTTGGGTGTTTTTATGTACGTGGGGGTTTCAATTTATTTTAACACGGTTGGGCAGTCGGCTAGTGACAAACCATAAGCTTACATTTAGATAGCTAGCATAGCTAGCCGGTTAGCTGCTAGCTCACAACGCAAGATGGCCTCATTGTCGCCCGGTGGCTCCGATGCTGAAAAGACAAAGCATGCGGCAAGTCTCGGTCAGCAACCCGTAGCCTCTCCAAAATGCGACTTCTGTGGCTCTAACAGGGGCCTTATTGGTAGTGGAATTTCGGACTTGTTACGATGAAGCAAATTGTAACAGTTCGGGCGATCTATAGCGACATTTTTAAAAATCCATTTAGATCTGCCAGCTGCGAAAGTGCTGCCTTTAAGTGTGCTGTGGGGGATGGGCTCTGTGAAGAACCATTGACGTAAAGCGAGACTGCATTTTGTTTGGCCCCCACACAATTCAGGACAGACATTGAATTGTTTACGTTTTAACCATTTTAATACTGTTTAGTGACATGTCTTTATTGTCATATAATGGTATGACTCAATCATTGAATGAGGGTCATTTTAGACGCATTTCCTGATTCAGGCGTATACCGTTTTTAAACATTATAAATGGCAGCATTTTCTGATTAAATATGATGGAGATTGTGTGATTGAGTTATTTTTTATGTGCACTCAACCAAATCACCGTTACTGGAAACGGAATGATTTTTTTACTGTTTTAAATGAACTGACAAAACAATTGAGCATCTGTAGCAGACCAAAATTACACTTAATATCACTTAGTGTTTTTGAAACGCGGGAACTTAATGGATTGGGGGCAATTTTCTATAAATCTTTGTAGACAACAAAGGAATTAGAATTGGTTGTAATTTATATAAATACTTTTAATGGATTTTTTCTGAAGCCTCGACTTCAGAGTTGGCGCTGTTTAAGCGTAAGCGGAACCATCTGTGACACAGCTGCACAGGAATGGTTTAAACTATTGAAAAGGACGGGCTAGCTAAAGCTAAAAGTTATTGATAATTATGCTAACACAGGAGTCAATATTTCACTCTAAAAACAATTCTGTAAAAATAAACAAATACCTGTTTGACTGAGAGTTGTATTTTTTAATTTTTTTTATGCCGTATCAGTTCTGTAAATAGATAATTAAACTTCCTCATTTAGAGACAATCCCTGTGGTAACCCAGTCGGCGTTGTGTTCCAAAAGCGTCCGGGTTGCAACACCGACCAGCGACACGGACTCATTCCCGGTTATAATCAGATACAGGAAGTCCAGTTCTGGGCCTTTTTTAGCGTTTGCTCCCCCGTTGGGCAAATTTCACAGAACCCAACGACAGATAGTGGTAATAAACACACTGGAGGTATTTAAGTTTTTAACCAGGAAGTTAAAACATTTTTTTTTAGGAGATCCAAGTGAGCAAACCGGTTTCCTTGAAAGCCATTTCGCTGATTAATTCAAATAATAGTAAGTTAAAAAACTTATTTGACATTTTCTTTTAGATTAACAATTTAATCAACCTATTTGGAAGAAATGTATAAAAATGGCTAATAAAATAATACACTAATAACTAGTTAATTGTTTCTCATATGGGTGTAGAGATACCACTGGTCTCTTACAGGTGCCTAATTGTAGTGATAAAGATATCAGCAATTTTAAGTGTTTTTATTTCTCTATAAATAAGCTTAGTAGCTTGATTATTTAGAATTTTATAAATAGAATCGCTCAGATTTAATCCCAAAATGCTGAACTGTAAGGTTTTTGAGGAGCATTAAGTTTGTACATGTAGAAAAAGGAAGAAAATGTTATGTCCAAAACTGTTTCCCCTCCCCTTTGTGCAGTAAACCTTCCCTCAGGTTATAGGCACAACCTGGTTGTCTTTCATTTATGTTTTCTTTTTTCCACATTGCTCTTGTTTTATTTTTCTCCCTAAAATGACATAGTGCTCTTTAGTGTCTATTGTTTAACAGGCGCCAGCACTATGCACTACACAAGAAGATAACGCGTGTCCATAATTGTTTTCTCACCTTTTGTATTTTAGATCTCCAGGCACCTTCTTAAATGACTTTTTTCCTCCCCTCCCTTTTCTGTCCACTGTCAGGAAATGTAAATATGCAGGCAAGGACTCAAAGACCTCCAGACTTCTGAGACTTTTCTTTGTACTTTAGAACCGCTTCTCTGACTGGAGCTTGCTAAAATGTTGTGCTGGTTTAAATTGTTCATCATCAGGGGATGACAGAAATATGTTTCTCGTATGATGTCTGGAATTTTTAAAATAAAAATAACACCATAACTCAGTTAAGATAGTGAAATTGTATTATGGATAATTCAGTCTTCATTTTATGTCTGATTATTCATTTTTGTATTTAATCGAAAGTGTATTTGTTTTCATCTCTGTAGTGCTAAGTTTGAAAATGGTGTACTTGTGGAGATTGTTGGGCTCCAGTGTGGCCTGGCATCCAAAATGAATAGTTAACAAATTTTTCTTTCTGTTGCTCAGACACGAGTTGTGACAATTTTTGACAAAAGCAGCAGTGTCTCTGGGCATTTGGTTTTACTTTAGTGGGCAGTTTCCCTAAAATTAGCTCCCCATTGCTGCTTTGATATGTGTAAGCACACATTTCATGGCACCAATGATTCAACACGTTGTGCTCATATAAGATAAAACAAATAAAAGCAGTAGAAAAAATGATACAATGCATAATTTAATTGAAAGGATTGGCCCAAATGCCCTGTCCACAGTTTTTACAGATTAGACACAGCCTGAGACTGCACAGTTTAAAACAAAAAATTATTTCCTCATTTATACCAATGAGAAATGAAATGCCATTGGCTGCTTCCCAGAGCTCAGGCCTCCTGTTTGATTTCATCCTGTTTATTCAGGGAACTCAGATGGCTTTTAATGGTGGCGGGGGTGTTTTGTTCCTCTTAAGACTTGTGTGTCGAACTGGTGTGTAACAAGGAAGTGAACTTCACTCTTTTTCCCCCCTCTTTTTCCCCTCCCCCTCAGTGAAGAGAGTGAAAATCTTGTTCTACTAGTTTTTGAAGTGTTGCGTGTGTAGACCTAGTAACCTGATGTGTCTTGTAAATATTAGTGGGCCACGGTTGTATGTTATACTCTGAATTACGAATGTTCTCTTAATTCATTTTCATATGATCACTTTTACCCCTTAAAAGCACCTCATTGATTAGAATATCTTTTTGATTTTCTTGATCACAGGTGGCAGTGGGGAACAGTCGCACATGCTCTGATCATGTAACCTGCGTTCTGTTTCTTTTTTTTTTTTCTCTTCCTGACAAAGGTCTCTGTAGTCTGTGCTTATTTTTGATGCTGCGTCCGCTTTTAGTTGGTAACCATGCTATTTTCGGTGGCTCAGTGGTCTGTTAAAAGTGTGGTTGTTCCGCCCAGCAGGAGTCTTGCCTCAGACTGGCCTAAAATGGGCAGAAATGGTGCTGAACAAAAGCTGCTTGTCGCTCGTACAAAAGTACTTGAAGCGTTGCAGCCGGGACCAAGCTGCATTGCTATTGCCTGTGCCTCTCAACAGGAAAGGTATAGCAAACTTTTAGAAAAAACAACTACAACAGACAACTCACTTTTTTTTACTTTAGCTCAACGCTGTAGTTTTATCTGTAAAGTCACAGCTGCCGTGTTGCAGAGTGTAGCTCTAGCTCCCTTATGTCCACACAGATGTCCACACCACGTAGCCCTAACACATCACACATTCACATAATTAATGACATGACACTTAATTCTTCTCACTATGTTAGCTAGTCAAATTCAAAGCAATTCTTTTTTGTGTGTGATATTTGTTGTTGGTGCTTCTGAGTGTTTCTCGGATCCGGAGTCTCACTGTGTGTCCTTTCTCCTCGCCGTGGCAGCAGACAGACAGCATGTTCCCGAAGGGCACCAAGCGCAAGTTCTCGGACTCCGGCGAGGAGCCGGCCGGCGGCGGCGGTGGCGGCGGCGAGCAGGGCCCGGCGGCGCCGTCGGCGGCGGCGGCCCGGGCGCTGACCTCCTCGTACAGCCTGCAGCGGCAGTCGCTGCTGGACATGTCGCTCATCAAGCTGCAGCTCTGCCACATGCTGGTGGAGCCCAACCTGTGCCGCTCGGTGCTCATCGCCAACACGGTGCGGCAGATCCAGGAGGAGATGACCCAGGACGGCACCTGGCAGATCATGACCCAGGCGCTGGCGGCCGCCCAGTGCCCCGCCGACCGCCTGGTGGCCACCGAGGTGCTCTGCCGGCAGACTGACCCGGCCGCGCAGGCCGGCCAGAGCCCCAAGCCCTTCTCCGTGGTGGGCCTGGAGGAGGGCTACCACTCGGAGGAGGTGGTGATGGAGGGGGAGGTGGAGACGGAGGTGACGATGTCCACTCTGTCCGCCGTCCCCCCACAGCTGTCGTCGGCCTCCTACCTGGCCGGCCCCTTCGGCATGGGCCCCTGCTGGGAGGACGAGGAGGACGACGGCGGCTGCGACGAGGACGAGGAGGAGGACAGCGAGGAGTGCGCGTCGGAGGGGGAGGACGGCGAGCGGGACCGCCTGAGTCCGGACTCCAGGACAGGGGAGCAGGTTTTTGGGACCTTTGAGATCAAGCACCCGGCGCCGCCCGCCGACCCCGCGCTGGAAGAACTGTTTTCAGACGTGGACCCCTCCTACTACGACCTCGACACGGTGCTGACGGGCATGCAGAGCGCCCCCAAAATGGGGCCCTACGACCTGCTGGAGAACCTGTCGTCCCACGGGCCCACGGCGCTCAGCTCCAGCTCGAACTGCAGGTCAGACCTGAACGAACTGGACCACATCATGGAGATCATCGTGGGGTCCTGAAACCCCCCGACGTTCTCCGCCCCGCAGACTCTCTCCGACTATGCACACCAGCCCGTGCATGTTCCATTTTGTCGTATCGTTACACAGACTGTTGGAGGTTTCAGGGGGGGGGCAAGGTGGGAAACTAACACCCAACCAGGTAGATTTTTTCAGACTGGCTCCAGATGTGGCCGTTCAAGCAGCAGGTCAGCAGCTGCAGTTGGATCCTTCATTAGCAATCAGACAATTTTTTTTTTTTTTTTTTAAATTAGGGTTTTCACAGGACTCCACGTCCCGTGAGCACAGCTGTTAGTTTCCTACTTTTTGTGAAATCCAGAACTCGATAATGTCTCAGAGAAGGCAAAGATAATTACCTACACAACGCATTCTTATTAACATACTGTCCTATGTTCATGTCTGTCATCCTTCTGGTCATGTCGTCTGCCTTTATGTCCGGTTTTATTTATTGTTACATGGACCGAGGAACAATTCACCCACACTACATGCATCAGAACCCAGAACAAATTGTAAATCCAAATCTATGAATCAATGCATATTTTCCTAGAGAGCTGAGCAATTATGAATGGAATATATGTATATGTATGTATGTGTATATAGAAATATATTTTTTGCATTATACAGGGGAGGGGGGGGGTTGGATTTTCAAGCATTATTTGATATAATTTTTTCCCCTCCCAAGTGGTTTTTAAGATTTTAATGTAGCCAGACTCGAGACGGTGTCTTCCCATGGTTTGGTATAACAAGACGACTGTAGAAGGTGTCAAGACCGACACCATCACTCTTCACAGGCACTGTTCTCTCATCCTCTGAAAAGCTTTACGCAGAGCAGGGAAATTGCTTCCAGCCACCAACAAAAAAGTGGATCAAGACATGTCCCTTTCTTACTGGTTTACATTTTATCCACTCGAAAAGTAATTCCCCTGCTCTGCTTTTAAACACAAATCCAGTTACAATAAACCAGCTCTTTCTGGTGAGACCCCGGGGTGATAACTGCATCAAGAAGCCATATTTCTCTCTCATTTGTAGCCACAAATGAAGAATTCTCTGTGTTAACCCATCTAATTTATTGTTTTTTATTTATTGTATTTATTTTATCAAGGTACAGACATGCCATATTGACTTATGAATTCAACCACAAAACCCGGTGAAGTGATATTTATCCAAATTTTGGCCTCCGTTTTGAATGCAGTACCTATTTATTCCTATTTTTTATAATTATTGTTGGGAATAAAAAAAAGAAAATAATAATAATGATAGCAACCGGGTTAATATCTAAATTACTATGCAGCTCTGTCATACGTGTTTCAAAACGACTGTAGACTCAAATGTCCTTAAAATCCTTTATGCAAACAGTTGCCTTTCTCCTGAATATGTGGGAAAAAATCAAATGCTCTTTTTCTTTGTTTCAAAATTGCTCTGTATCATGATGAAGAGATTAACTCAGGCAAACAAAAATGTATTAAGATACAGTATTACGAAACACTTAATACCTTACCACAACACTCCTGAAGGATGTCACTCTAGTCTGAATGGGAGCTAGAACTTCAAAGACTAATTATCATTGTAAAATGTATGCATTTTTATATTAAAAGCATTGTAGCATCTTTGTAAATATTTTTTATAATAAAAGATGCAACTATTGATAGGTGACATGGCTGTTCTGACTTTTTATTTTAATTTTAAAGGATGCTCTCTTTTCTTTCTGTCTCTTTTCACAGTTTATCTGGTATACTTTTTGGCATGAAGACTGAAAACATTCACCTTTAACTGTCAACAGATTAATAGTGAAGACAGCTGTATACTGTAAATGTTTCTTATTTTTCATATTCTTTACAATGAGCCTAAACAGCATCCATTGTTCGGTCTGAATCAACAGAACAACTAAGCGAAAGTTGGAAATGTCAGTTGCTATTAACAATGCTAGAGCTAAAGATGAAACTTTTGTTAGTTTTTTTAAAAAGCCTGCTGATATTGGTGCTGTTAACCTTTGTTACAGTATACAACAAATAACTTAAATAACCTTTCTAACTGAAGGGAAAAAAAGGAGCAATGTATTTGTGCAGCTGTTCGCTTTTCTGAGTTAAGATAGACCTGCTTGGGTTTTTCTGAAGTTGCCCGCCATAAATAATTGCAATTTTTTCTATTTAATGCAATCTCTTACTGAAAGTGTGCCTATCTCTAAAGCAATGTAGACGCAAAAAAGGATTCATTACTGGGTTATTTATTAAAAGTGAAAGTTCCTCCCTTAAAAGCCTGTTTGGGAACTTTATAAATGTAGATTTGTACAAGTATAGTTTGTTGCGTAAGTGGAGGCTTACAAATAGAAAGCCTAAAAAAATAATGAAAATAGTAGCTTAACATCATAAAAAAGACACTTGGAATGAGTTGTGTGTTGATCTGGTGCCCTAAATCAAAGACTTCATGCTTCCTTGCCGTAAAAACCCTTAAAATTGGACTAGATGTGACTGCTACAGTTTGGATTCAGTGAGACCTTTGTCCACGCTCTCTCTGATGATGACGCTAAACCCTGAGACTCTGCATTAGATATGCAAATAGACTTTTGATACGTTCCACAAAACGGGGCCTTTGTCGAAACCGACCGCTAACTTTTTCAGTCGGACCAGATTAAACGGCTTTACAATCCGCCAAAGTGAGGATGTTCATGTCATTAAGCCTGTGGAAATCCAAGGCAATTTCTTTTCGTCCTTTTTTTTCTTTCAACATGTGGTTTTGACACTGACAATACCCATTTGTTCGTAGAATTAAAGCTGGCTTTGCCCGCTGGCCTGCAGCGCGGAGTTGGCCAGACTATCGTTAAAGATTAATGGCTCCTCGGTGAGTCAGCAAAAAGGCAGCCCCCGAGAAGAACCGGCTAATCGGAGGGAAAGCCTGGAGAGTTGAAAAGCAGCGCAAGAGAAAAGGAGAAAAAACAGGAGGAAATCCACAACGGTGTTCAAAAATGTGCAGTTTCACCCATGCAATGAAACTGGTGGTGCAAAAGATGCCTAATGTATATGTTCCCTGCTGTCAGGGTACTGGAAACGTGTGTGTGTGTCCTCAGGGTTAGAAACAATAGCCCTGAACACACACACACAGGCCACAGATGCCTTTAGATCCTCTGCTTTAATGCTTCCACATTTGAATTTGAATATTGAATTTGAATATGTTTTCAAATTGATTCCAAACAACAGTCCTACTGAAATATTCACATTTCACATTTATACTAGTTATATATATGTTATACATATGTTATATATATGTTATAAAACAGGATGCGTGTCAGATGAAAGCAAATCCAATGATAAATGCACACGCTTTACATTCAGAGGGGGGATCATGAAAACAATTAAAAGAATAGGAAGAGGTGTATCAGTGACCCATTCGAGGGGGAGAGACCAGGAAACCGTGAATCAATGGTTGCCTTATTTGGTATTTGCCTTCCCCGTCTTTCCGGTCACGTCTTTCCTCTTCCCTTCTGAGTCATCCATCCCTTTAAAGTGCTGCATTCAGGTGCTAATAGCAACATTCTGGATACTAAACAGTAATCTATGATGAAACTATACATTTAATCAGTATTTTTACCACTTGCACTTGCTTCTATTTGTGGTGTAAGTGTGTAATAATTCATTCAAGATTGAATTGTTATGTTGTTTAATCCTGGACTCGCTTGTCAAATGTGACAGGACAAACATATCTCATCTTTTTCACCACATCACAAACATTTAAGATATTACTAATGGGATACCTACTCACCTCCAATAATTCACTGAACCTCTGCTGGTGAGGCCTGCTTCACACTTTGACAACTTTATTTCAAAGTTATTCCTGAAACAGTTATTTAAATGGATGGGAAGTGTGATTATCTAGAGAAAAGAACAACTGATTCTTTGGAATAGAGTATGTGGACTGCAGATGTTAAATATTTCATGGCCTTGTCTACAAAGCTGGAGCTGACAGGCTGTCCATTGATTGAAAACAGCAACAGAACAAGAGAACAATTCCTATTGTTGTTATGGTTTGGTCTGCTAAAGATGCTGCCATAGCCCACAAAAAGTACAGTGAGTACAAAAAGTACAAAAAAGTACAAAAAAAACAATAGAAACATATTTAGATAAGTGTCCGATATCTCAGATGCTTTGCCTTTATATAACTTTTTAATTTACATTTCAACATTAAAGCCTTCAGTCTTTTTCATTCAAATCCTTTCTCGTCAGACAGACTCATTGGTATGCTCCATAGCCTTCCATTATCGACACATCTGATGGTCACTTCACCTTGGATATGCAGCGCAAAGAAAACTGTCAGAGCTTTGAAACGGAGAGGCCGCCGTTAATCTTTACAGACCCAATGTTCCTGCTTTGTATTATAGCTCTCAGACTCTTAATGCTGAAATTCCAGCCAATAAAATCTAACGTCTTTGGAATTACTATGTCATTCCCATTTTTCTCTAAATGACAACATTCAAATCACCCAGAACTAACAGGAAAACAAAAATATCTACACATAAAAAGGGTTTAGACCCTGAAGCCTTTCAGATGGATCTTCAAGAACTGGACCAGTGCACGCTCTGCTCTTTTAATGAGCCAAAGAACCACCGGCTGAACACTCTGTACTGCACTCTGCTTTCTCGCTTTCAAAATATAGGTTGGGTCAACCCTCACTGAGCTACCTTTTCCCTACAGGTTGTAATTTGGCACTGGGTCTGCATTGAAGCAGGTTTGAGACATGCTGCAGTTGCTACTAAACCGATTACAAGCTGTGATGTTTTAATATACATATTACACTTACTGAAAAATAATTTTCTGTTTGTTTTGTTTGTGATAATCAAATGTATTGTGTGGAAAACTAGCATGTCCTCCAGTAGACAGCAGTCAGAAAAGCAGAAATACTTAGGATAAATAAACTCAAACCTCAAATAAAAGACTTAAAGCAACTTGAGCAACTTTACATTGAACTTTACAGTACATAGCTGATGCTATTTTTTCTGTAATTTGTACTCTGCTCATGGATCTTCTGATTAGCATTTATATTAGTTTAGTTTAATTTAGGTTGTTGGGATTGTGTTTAGAATAATCCACAGTGAGAGCCCTCTGATTTTTGTTACTTCAACTGAGACACTGACTTCTCAAAGAAATACATACATGGTTAAAATAGCTTTTAAGTGAAACTGGTTACATTTTCTTTACCTATACATCTTTACCTATACATAGAAATGTATGAAAAAATTCTAAATAATTTTCAGTTGATACGGACATCACTTTGTGGGAGTTTAAAATCAACTTTCTCATAAAGAGATCACAACAGTGGGACCATTTCTTGAGAAACGCCACACTGCTACAATGGAGTCTATCCTCACCTTCTCCATCACGTCTTGCTTTGCTGTGGCCATAAAGAGCATCAGACAACAGCCTGTCGTTCTCTTTGTGGAGAATGTGATCATTCACTTGCACACATCTTACAGCGGAGACAGCAGCCAACTCATCTGCTTCTAAATACATAAACTGTCTCAAACTCCCCCTCTGTCAGGCAGCTTTAGTCTATCAGTAGTCAGGCTTATTCAAAAGGTCAGAGGAAAACATTCACATTCAACCTAGTCCACCTTCCTGTTAGATTATTGTACTATATCATCACACCCTTTCCTGAGACAACATGTTGTATTATATCAGAATATACTCACTATTCATACTTCACATATCCTGTTCATACTTGACAACATTTGTAATATCATATTCAGTTAAATCTTTATGTATATTTTGGTATCTAATGTGAGCATGTTTTCAATTATTCGCTAATCTCTTTATGTGTCCATGTTTATTACTCTTGCTCCGCAATACCACAGTAAGTTCCTTGTTATGTGCAAACACACTGGGTGATAAAAAAGAATCTTGATCCTGATTAAATCAGTGACTAAATAAACAATAACACAACGTGAGCGGACCCACAAGAAAGCTGACAATAGAGTGAAATATTTTGAAGACTGAACAATGCAGATGCAGAGCACATGGTTGATTCTGACCAGCGATTGGCTCAAGCAGGTAAAGATTGACAGCATTACATACGTTAATAACAAAAGTGAAAAAAAAGAAAAAAATACACGGGACATTTATGACATTTGAAATGCACGTGAGAGCACACGGGTCAAGGTGATAGTGCCTGGTACAGTTGGTCTTTCATGAAAATTAAAAAGTAAATATAAACTCGCAGTGCATTTAGTAGATATTATCGTTCGACTTGTATTGGTAGATTTAAAGATTTTACCCACTGTATGTCCATGTCTACTTAAACAACGTGACCTATGTCACATCAGGCTCTGGTCATGTTGTTGTAGAAAACTACACCTAAATTCTGATCTTGCAACATATTTGACATTCTGTTGTGCTTTTTAAAATTACGCCACCACCTTTGGGCCCTAATAAAAAAGTATTTTTTCTTGTTTTCTTCCCGTTTTTTTTTTTCTCACCGTGCAGACAATTTTCTGCCGGACACGTGCGACCCGACGGAAATCCTCGTCTTTACGGGATGCTCGTGAACGCACCGGCAGCTCGTCGTCGGAACAAATTGCCGCACATTCGCTGCCCCGTGAGTAGCGGAGGCGGAGGTTTGACTGGCAGGTCCCATATCCAATCGGCTTCGCGGAAGAGCCCCGGCGTCCCGCCTCCCTCTCTCTCCTCCTCCGTAGCCCCGCCTCCTCCCCCCCTCCCGCTGCTGTGGATGGACTGAACATTCCTCATACTCCGGATCTCGATGGTACAGGAACGCGGCAACGGAACGAAGGAAGCCGAGGGCACGACGGATTTATACACCTAATGACACTTTCCAAGGACACGTAAGGTTGTAATTTAATCTATTCCCCTTAATTTTCCGCTTGGCAATTTCTCGACTTTCCCCTCCAAACTTGGTGAAACGGAGCTAACGTTTTCTCGGTGAAGTGGGGAAGGGGTCAGCGGTGTTCTTGAGTCGTCCTGCTTATAAGAAGCAAGACTGTCGTAATTCACTTGTTTGGATGGATAAAACGTGTGGGGTTATGTGTTTTTAAATCCTCAATTTGACCTAGTTCAGGCTTTTATTTTGTCAAAAATTTCAAACCAAGCAGGCGGAGTTTCATCGATTGGTGGTGGGGGGGTCCAGGCTCACCGATAAGGGGCTCGGTTGTGTTCTATTAATTTCTTATGTGTAAAAATGGTTTTAAGAACGTGTTCTCGTGGTTAACGAAGCAATTCGCGTATGTGAGGATGAGTAAAAGTCTGTCAGCCCGCAGGGGTGTCTGTCAGTGAGTCACGGCGTCGCCTGTTACATGTCCTACGTGGAGAAGTCACGCACTCACTCCGCAAACTAGTTCAGTTTTTCGATTTTTTCTCAGCATCTATCCCCGAATTTCGATGTATTTTTCTCTTTTAAAATGCCAGCTTTGAAGCTGAAAAAGCACACATAGGCGCTCTTATGTAAACTACATGCAGCGGTTATTACACTGCAAGGCAGCCAGATGTGCCCCCCCCACACACACACAGTCCCTGTCCATGAGCAGTTTTCAAAGTTTTTACCCCTTTTTTTGCTGTCTTTTGGATGAAAAGATGGGTTTAGAACATCTTTACTAAAGGGCTGCTGCCTGTCTTTTTGAGGTTTGATCATCTTAAGTGTGCATGCGTTGATAAGTAGATGTCAGAGCTTGTTTTGTACACTCAGTTCTTTTTCAGTTTTTTATCATTAAAGGGGACCATCGGTCAGACTAATTTTTACCTTTTGGCGTGTCGGCGTTGCAGGTCGATGTTGGGACGCGGCGTGAAACGGAAGTGGAGCTGCTTGGAGGAGCTGGACGGCGAGCTGCTCCCGGCTTCGGCGGTGGACGCAACGGGCCAGATGTCCGGCCCGGGCCACGTCCAGCAGCGGCAGCTGGTGCTCAGCCTCTGCCTGCAGAAGCTGCAGCACTACCAGGCCGGCGTGGAGCTCAGCCTGCGCCGCTCCGTGCTGCTCATCAACACGCTCCGCCAGCTCCAGGGGGAGACGCCGGGCCACGCCGGGCCGGACGCTCTCCTCGGGGACGACGCGCCGGTCACCTGTCCTGGATGCGCGGAGGGAGACGGCCTGTCTCCCCCAGAATCCCCCCCTCAGGAGGCCCAGGCCTCCCCCGACCAACAGAAACCTCCACCCACCGGCCTCGTCAACACTTTCAGCGACGCGGCAAACGCCATGGGCTACCTAACTGACGTCGCCCTGGACGATATCTTCGAGGACATCGACACGTCCATGTACGAGACTTCGGACCTGCCCTCCGCCTGGGCGGCCGGTCCCCTCTGGCCAGCGGTCAGCGTGTCCCTGTGGCCCGACGAGGACGTGAAGTGTCGCGCCCCCGGCCATTCCACACCTGGAAGTCTACAGTCATGTCTAATGGACTTTAATGAACTAGACCACATCATGGAGATTCTAGTAAAGTCATGATCGACAGGAGAAAGCAGCCAAACGAGGTTTTTCTGTGACGTTGGATTTTTAAGGCTCCATCTGATAGAAGCCCGAACACGTGTTTTAACACACACGTTCTTGAGCTCACACTTCCACCACGAGGAAGCAGATATGGATATATGCCTGTGCCTAAAACCATAGACGAAATGTTTATGATGGATATTTAAAAAAAAACACAACAAAATCATGTATATTTTTCCACTCAGATGCTCAGAGAATAAGCTGATTCATCCTTGCTGACAGGAAGCAAACACAATTTTGATAAACGGTTAGTTTGTAGTTTTTTTCAGGAACAATGCCTAAAAGAACCCAAAAGATTGAACGATTTCCACGCAAATCTGCTTAAAAAGTTCTTTGCAAAAGCAAACAAAAGATTTCTGGGATTAGGTATGTAGCGTTTCGACAGGCCAAATTTAAAAAAAGAGGGGAATGACCCATTTTTCTACTCTTGGTTTCCAAAAAAAAACAATCAGATTCCTCCTCAGACATGCTGTTTTGGGAGAAGTGGGCGAATAATTGTCACACCAAAGACCGTAACCTCAGATGGAACCTTAAAACTCCACAATCTCCAGTAGTCTGAGAGGGAACCTGAGCGGTGGCGGCGGCCTGCGTGTAACTCGGGCTGTCAGATCCGACTCAGGTTGATTATTAATTGAAATCCCTTCAATTACTTAGAGGGAAGGTGCTGGAGCCGGCCAGGAGGGCAAAGGGCCGGGTGTTGTTTTCAGTCCCGGGACCGAGCGGATCCCGTAAACCTGCGTCTGTGGAACTATTTAACGTGTATTTATTGGGTTAGCCGAGAGAAGAACGCAAGAAAAATGATGGGACTTCACGTTGGGGGGACTGGGGTATGAATCGTGTGACCTGTTGGAATGTTTTTTAATCGTAATGCTTGTTTTTATTTATGAATGAGAAAGCAACCGCGGCGTGTGGCAGATATTTTATGGTTCCTTTGTACATAGCTTATCGCTCGGCTTTGTGTGTGTAACTTATGGTTTGGATCCTCTCTGACTGACTGTCAGCGGAAGGGCTGCTGTCGACACAACTGTACCGTTCCTGATGCAAAAAACGAAAAAAGGCAGCGAAGAATGGCGGTTTTATCCTCCCGGCAGCTCGTCTTCAGGGGTATTTCCAATATAACACGAGAACAGCATGAAATGTGTATTTTTTAAAAAAAATATTGAGATTTGTATTCCCAGTCTGTTTGTGACTGATCAGCAATCAGGAAACTTCGCCATATCTCCGTATTATCCTCTGTATTTTCATGGCCTTGATGGTATGAATTTTTTGTCCAGTTTGGATGTTTTTTTTGTTTTTTCAAAACACTTTTGTATGCGTGTGGACCCCCCCCCCCTGTTCTACCTCCTGCTTGTCGCCGGTGGACCCGGACACTCCCGCTTCACATCCGGAGCCACACGCAGTTCCCCCCCACCCTCACCGTGGCTTCAGCTCGGGTTTTTTAAAGGCTCTGTTGTCCGACCAAAGTGCTCCGTCCTCATCCCATGTTGAAAACGTGCCTTACTACTGAGTGGGAATTTTTTCTTTCTCTCTGTCCGAGCTCAAAGTCACCGAGACCCGCGTGAGCTGTTATAAAAAAAAAAAGCCAGAGCTGCATCTCCTCCCTGTTTTTTTTTTTCTTTTTCTTGGCCATCTTTCTGTGCTCACTGAATACTACAGGCACATGAGCTTAATGTATCCTGACAGGCTGATAGCAAACTAGCCGAGGGAGGAGGTGGCATGGAGGGCCGGGAGGGAAAAATAGGAGGAGGAAGAGGAGGAGGGAGGGAGGGAGGAAGCAGTTTACGTCACATGTTCATTAGGAGGGGTTTGGAGCTTGTTTTGTCCAGACTCAGACTACCGACCAATCACGTGAGATGTGTGAGCAGCTCACTGCTGCTCCAACAACAACTTGTTTTTTTTGTTTTTTTGCTACAAACGGCACAAGCAGATACACACATGAACTGGTCTGGACTTCAGCCTGTGACATAAAAAACCTCTGGTTATTATTATTATTTTTCTGCATTTCACACCATCCGATCAACTGGAGCGAACACAAATCAATCAGCAAGCTGTAGAGTTATTTATATTAGTATCAAACGTGCAGAGAACCGAAAGGGTCCGAAAAAGACAAACTGTGCACTTGGTTCTGCTACAACTGGAGCTAAAGAATGTGTGCTGGGAATTGTGATGATAATTCATAATGTATTATCTGTGGAATATTTTCTAGGTTCTATATCTGATGATATGATAATAAAAAAAAAACATTCAACACTCTCGAGTTCGCGTGTGTGTGTATCTTGTCATAAACTGGAGAGTCGGCCGCTCCTTACAGCATGCAGACGTGTGTGTGTTTTACTGTCATGTGCCTTTTTCTTCTGAGCAAAAAAGAAAAAAACAAAACGTCCACACCAGTCATGCATACTCGTGCAGGACATTACACGTGGTTAATGGACACGTTTAAAAAATATATATATATACATATATATATATTCATATATATAGTTTTTGCCTCACAATTTTCACTTATTGTTTTACACCTCTATTTTCCACAACGATCCCACATTCCCATCCCCAGTATCATACTTTAGTATCATACCAAGCACGTGCAGCATCCAGCAACACGTTGCACGTAAAAGGTGACCACAGCCTAGGAGGCTGTATCGAGGGCAAAATGTACCCTGTTGTAATGTTTTTCTTTTTTCCAGTCAGTCAAATGGAAGCTAACATTGCCATCTGGTGGACATCTGGAAGAGAGGTTTTTCCTTGTCTGTGAGCATGACGGCGCATATTTAAAAATGCAGTGTTCATTAATGTGCAGACCTGCTTTTTTGGCAGCTTCGACACAGAAATAAAAAAGCATCGTGTCATTTCCAATTTGATACGAAAAAAACTATAGGAGAAATGCAGAACAGGTTACTTAAGGCACAAGAGGTTCTAAAAATGTCACTCGGCCCACAGCATAAACGGTCCGATCTGGTGCTTCCTGCCTAACTGCTGCAGTTTTATCACTGCAGCATCACAGATCAGTCCATCCATCCTTTTAAATACCTGCTTTATCCAGCTCAGATTTGCTGGGGCCAGCAGCTTAACCCATCCAGGAGGAGACACCCCGGTTACATCACCAATCCATCACAGGGCTAACGCAAACAGACGACTCAAAATACTATCTATATTTTTGTACAGTGGGAAGAAACCCCACGAAAAACACCCGGTAAACACACAAACTCCAAACACAAAGTTCCCAGCGGAGGGTCAAACACCATTTTTTTTAGATCATACCAAACATGGTAACATGGCTAACCCTAACCCTAACTACTAATAACCCTGTTTAGATGTATACATCTGCAGGATCTAAATCTATTGGAAAACTATTCCTGGAAGGACCGGTGAAAGACTTCACCGTGGTCTCTCGGGATATCTTTGTGGGTTTGATTTAGGCAACAGCGGACTGTGGGTGCGAGGCTTCTGCTGCAGGAATGCAGGGAGTGGCTGCACATGAGGAGCAACACGTGCACTATAGCACACAAACAGTGGTAACGCTTCCATTTCAGCATTCTAGCTAACTGTCTGTATGTCTGTCTGTATGTCTGTATATCTGTCTGACCGTCTGACCGTCCGTCCGTCCGTCCGTCCACAGACTGCTGCAGTGAGTCAGTGTGGTTTTACTGTTTTCCTGCAGGCACGCGTCTGGCTGCTGTGGTGCAGTAGAGCCAGGGCTTTGGCCCAGAAAGCCGCTGTCCGCCAGGCTGACTCAGCAAACCTCCTCCTGCTGCTGCAAAACAATGGGACAGATCAAACGGAATGATGGATACATCCGCCCATCGGCATTTGCCACGTTTTTGATATTGAACAAATATGTGCTTCGGTCAGAACTTAACTCAAGAAGTTAAAATATGTTCTATTTGAAAAAAAAAAAAAACCCGTAGTGCACATAAAATTCATTCATTCCTATTAATCCTTCTGTTCACGCAGGCCGATAAAGTGTTGAGGCTTTACATGCTGCCAAATAGGCCTGAACCGTGTGAGAAAAATCTGCAATGTGCTGTGGCATTGAGAGACATAAAAAGCAAAGAGTTGTGTGTATTAGCCTGAAATAACACAGATTCACAACCCTGAATCGCAACGCTCCCATGTCGGAGTGTGAATGTATAGCACGCATATCTAAAATAACTTAATTAACTGGTATTACGGGTGTGATGGTTCGGTGGTTAGCACAGTCGGGGCCTCTCTGTGTGGAGTTTGCATGCTCTTTCCATAAATATGTGTGCTCCCTCTATAGATTCAGCTTGTTCCTACTGTCCAAAGACATGCTTCACAAACTGTTACTGTATATCCTGCCTCTCACCCAATAGCAGCCAGGATATTCTCTTTTACCCAGATTTGACGATAACAAACAACAAAATACTACACAGATTTGTAGTCTCTAACGTGTGCTTTAAAGCTCAGTTGAGGTTAGCTTGACAAGTTTGCATTCAGCTCTGCCCTTTCGGATTTTTGGATATATTTTGTTAGTAGTATGGAGCTGCTACAGCTCCGATGAAACGAGCCAAAACAGACCACATTTGACCCACCAACAGAAATATGAATTTTCCAAGATACTGTGCGGTCTCTCCACACTGGGTCGTACGGGTGTATGGGTTGTTTTATGAACTCTCTGTTCTTCGACACCCACGGAAAAAAAACAATCTGCAAAATGTTCAGGAGAACTTTGTTTTTTTCTGAAATCTTGGCAGGGTTTTCGGAGTTAATTTAGGCAAATTCGTTGTTTACAGCTGTTGTTGTAGTATCTATAGGTATGTACGGATAAAATGTCAAGGACTTAACTGCTTGAGCTAAAAGTTATCTAAATTTAATTAATTAATTAATTAATTTTTTTAAGTGGTCTAAATTTCGTGACTAAAGGGGACCGGACTAGATGTAAGAATTAGTTGACTACGATTCCAAATGTATAAATGGACAAAATTCAGTGTATCAAGTGAGGTAGATTTTTTATATCCAACTGTGGTTCCAGAAGAAAAATCTTTCCCTCTAAGAAATTCAGAGTCAGTGGATTTTTGTCATCCACTACTACACACTATTAAAACTTTGTAAAGTGAACTTTTAATTATTTGTGACTCACATAGAAGGGTGCACCAACTTCTTATACCTGGATTGCAAAAAGGGACTTTTTGCCATTCTCATTCTGATTTGTACTGGTCTGTCTGTACTTTTTGGTATTAGGAAAACAGATTAATTTAGATTCAAATGAATTGATTACCACTAATGGAGGCTGCAGATGTTTACTGGGACTCATTATAATGAAACTGCTCAGGAAAAAAGATAAAATACTTTGGGTTTAGATTCGCTGTAACAGGGATTTCCAGCGGCTGGTAAATGAAGATGGATTCTTTGACTTTAATATACATTGAAAGAGCCAGTGGGCGTTACTCACAATGTAA